AATAAATTACCGAGATTAAATAAGAGATTTTATAGATAGCTTATATATAGAAAAAGGGAGCTATATTCTGCCTATAAATTAAGAAGAAAAGCGCTTAGTATAAGTAGATAGATATCGAGTAATACGCTAATAGTTCGTAACTTTCTATACTTCTTTAACTTCTCTTATATCGAGCTAGGCTATAGATAGACCTAGAGTATAAAAGTAGTCTAGTAATTACGATCTATCTATAGTTAAAAGAAAGGCCTAGCGGATAATATATTATATATTACTAATAACCTCTTCGAAGCTCTTTATTTCTAGTACGTTAAAAGCTACCTCGAAACTAGTAATCTCGTTATTTAGCTCTTCGATATCGGACGTTATATATTACTATATATACTTCGTACTACTCTTGCTAAATAAATTGCGAAGCTTAGTATATAATATATGCCGAATAGAATTCAAGTGCCGAGGGAGCTAAAACCGGGCAGACCCTAATCGTCCTAGGATTCGGTTACAATTAAGCCGACAGATTAAATCAAAAAGCGCTGTCTAATAGCTTTGTCGCGATAGACCTTCGTTATCTTGTAAGCTTTACTAAAGGCCTGCGGAACGTAAGCTAAAGCCATACCTCTCGTCGCGCGTTTTGTAAGCAATTCCATTATTCCATTAAAGCTTCTTCGAACAGCTGGGCATATGCCTTCATTCGCCGCCAGCTTCACTTTCAGCGCAGTTTCACCTACCCTCTGCTCGACGACTGCAGCAGTAACATAACCCACTTAAGGCTGAGATGCCGCGATGAATGCGAAATCATCTGCGAGGCTTCTCTCTAACTCAAACGGGATGGGGTAATTCTCTTCGACATCGGAAGTGGAAGTCTCGGTGTATGATACACGGCCAGCAACATGATGTTTCCTGTACAAAAATTGGATTTGCTGCTCCATACGCTTGCGATCGACGTCCTTCCAAATTGATCTACTTCTGGGTGCAGTATCGGGTTCGTGACGTCCGTTCTCGGTGGTCTTCATAGTCGTGCACAGAAGTACCATGTCAGACCAGCTTCTCTGATCTGGTACACGGCCAAATTATAGCGATTTCATGTATGTCATTGTGGGTTACATCACGCCACGATGCGCACGTTTAAGATTGACTGGGGCTACCGCGCTAACATCCTATGTGCATCCATGGCTTAGACGGGACAACTCTAAAGGTGGTGTGCGGCATACCTAGCGTCATGCACCTGGCACAGCCGTCACGTTGCCAAGGATATTATGTGTACTCCTCATATGCTCGTGGAAGCATTCCCGCACCAGTACGCAGTGTGAAGAGGCGAATGGAGATTATTGGTGGCTACGGAACTCCATTTACGATGCCATGCACACTCGAACGACACCGAAAATAGCCAATTTCAAACCCTGGCATCCGAACACCACAGACAAAAGATACCATCAATTAGAGGGTAGACACGAGCCGATATCTAGCACCCATAACTCACACAGAATGCGGGACAAGATTGTAACTGGAAGCCGCAATCTAAGTATTCGAAGCAGTCCAATTAGCACCGCAAGCGTGGATCGGTCCATGGTCAACAGCGCGGTATAAGATCGAACGTTGATTGATATATCCTGAAGTATCTTCGGCGAGAATCTAGACGACAGCTCACTGGAAAGTCTGGTTCAGAGGCACGGTTTCGGCAGCACCGCGAAGACCCAGCTGCAACGCAATCACAACTTCCCCAACCCAGTCGGCCATGTCAGTCTCATGCGCCCGCGGGATGCACGATTCCAACAGGCCGGGGGCGGAATGATATCCACCAACATGCAGATTTGATGCCCTGCCTGCAGTACAGGCGTGGTTCAGCTTCCCATGTACATATTAAATGAAAGATCACTGGCTTCTAGTCAGCCAAGTGGTTGTGGCAAGCCGTCGGTCGAACCTCGTATGCATAATTTCGGAGCGTCTTGCGAACCACGGGCCAACCTAGGCGCTTCGCTCTTGCCATGCGTCGCCCGCCCGATGCGAAGTGTTTCTTCGGTTGGAAGCCCACCTTGCACCACAGCTCTATATACGACACGCATATGCGACATGCTTGTGTTTGATACGCAGAAGTAGTCCGACACCCGATCACCTTGCTACTACTGCATCGGCAGCGAAGCGAGCGCTCGGATCAGCGACCAATCTCTATGCACCACGTAACACCGATGTGGATGTCCTGCATGCGGACGATGGTAGACCTTCGGGAGCTCGCATCATCACCAGGCATCAACTTTTGTGTATCTAGTGAAGAGAGACTGCTGGAAGAAGTGTGAGTCGCTGTCAGTCATAGTTGCAAGAATCATTACACTGTAGCGGACGGTGCACCTGCAGGAATCTATTTTCCGAGTCGTAGGTCGGCTATAACGAACCCGACAATCGATGAGTTGATCTAGAGGTAACGATGGTGCTTCGCAGGGCGCTGACAGTGAGCTGCAAGTGCAAGGATCAAGTGAGCTCGATATTCTGTCGCCCGACCCTGAGTTTCGTGGTGGGCTGCGGTCCAGCTGTCACCGTCGCCTACTGTGCGTGTTGGCAATTCACAGCCATTCAACTCATTTGCAATATCCAGCATTGTTGCGAGTCAATATGGCAATCGACTTGAGAAGCAATACGAACAATCAGAAGCAGTGGGTACATGAAACCTGGGAGGTTTCAGTACATCGCTAAGCTCGACAGGTTCTAACGGGAATTCCGCACTGTTGAAGTTGGAGCTGGAGACGAGACCCAGCGGTGGACGATATATGAAAAGCTTCTTTTGAAAGACTCAGCCGTTTTCCAGGGCTGCAACAAAAAAAAGGGCCACTCGCGAGGACGGAATGATCGCGAAGCCTGAAGATGACCTGGACGTCTTTGAGATCTATGTACAATGGCTCTATGGAAGTAGACTCCTTATGTAAGCCCACGGTGTGGATCCCAAAAACCCGATAGAGCTGTGACTCCTGGTCAAGAGCTTCATTCTTGGCGAGAAGCTTGAAGACAGAGTCTAGAAACCCGCGACTATCGACAGCTTGATTGCATGCGTAAACGACTATGACCAAGATAGCACAGTATACTTCCCAGCTAGTCATGCAGATCGCGCCTAAGAAGCTACCCCTGAGAGCTCGCCACTCAGAGCCTTCATAGTGGATATGTTTGTTGATCATGGCCATCCTGCTTGGGTCGGATCGAATGCGAACAACGATTTTCTGGGAGATAGTGCGAGGCAATTCCTTGACATTCGAGGTCGGCCAGCTGCGTTGTCACCAATAGCTCTTCTTACCGCAACATTGTACCACTACGAGGAAGAACCGACAGAGAAAAGTTGAGGTTAATAAAGGGAGCCTTCGGAAGTCTTCCACCATGTAAAAATGAGCTCTTTTTTCTACCGGGGCAGACTCTTGCTCCTAGGTACAGCCAAGGCACCGTGGTCGAATCCGATGTGGGAATTAATAAAATCTATCGAATACACGATTTGAGCAGTTCACTGGCACGAAAAGACGAACAACACCCGGGAGGGACGATCAAGCCGTGGGTTTGTGGATGTTGTAGCTTAGCGTATTTACATAGTGCCTGCGCGCAGCAGCTGGAGCGACAAAGCCCACTTGCAGTGGTCGAGTTGTTCTCTATGAATGGAGCGCTGAGTACTGTGAAAAGCGGAGCATACACGCTATTGCACGAGTACCATACCAGGTATAGCGTAGTCGCAGGTCGAGTACTCAAATTTTTCGTTCCATCGGTTGTAGTCCACAATGTGCTCCAACACATGCTATGTGTTTAATTGCTTCGATTGGGAATCAAGCGAAACGCTGCACTACAGCTCAGCACCCGGTCGCTCGAGAGTTCTGTTTACAGTAGCTGAAGAGCTTGCATGGCTATGGCACATGAAAGACGATGTTTATGACTCCGGTGGACGATGGGAAGAAGCTGCAATGGACAAGTGAAGCATGATGCCAGCTGATGAGTAGACATTTTAGAGTAGAAATCAAGAGCTAGGGACAGGAGGTGAGGACGACTGGGCTTGAACCAAATCAACGGAAGATTGGGCATGGCTTTACAGTAAACACAGACCAGGAGACAGACCTCAAAGTACAGGAATATGTTGAGCTGCATGCAAGAAATACCCTTTGCAAAGACAAACTTCCAACTACATCAGCTATACGATACTGCAAGCACTTTTGCCTCTCATTTTCAGACTCTGCGTCGGAGTCATGCAACAAAATATCTGCAAATGGGTATGAGCTCACAAATGAAGTGTCGATCCGCGCAAAGTGTTGAATAGCTGCCGTTCCCTGGTCGGCGTATCAAGGTCCAAGCAGGAAGATCATGACCTACAAGGATGGCGAGAATGCGCCAAAGGAATGATAGTGTCAGAGGCCAAAGAAGCTTTTCCGCGTGAGCATCCTCATGGTCCATCACCTTGTGAGTCCAGTTCTGGTTCGATGTGTTTGCTTGCGGCCTCAAGTTCTGGTACCAAGTTTTATACCTTGGGTAGATTTACTGAGGACAAGCGCCAAGCATCAGGAGCTATTTTCCTCGAGGCAAGTATAAGTACTACTCGATTGCCCACCTTTTCCCATTATATCAAAAAGTGCTTTTGCTCGACCTTCACAACTCGGACCACTTAATATCACCAGCTCAATACACCTACCGCCAAAATGAAGCTCATAAAGCTCTTCGCTATCATGCTCGCCATTCTGGCTCCGCTATCGTCCGCCTGGACAGTGAACGTCTGGTCCTCGGACACCCACACCGCTAACGGAACAGAACTTACGCTATGTATCCGCAGAATGCAAGCCACTTTGGAGAAGCACCCCAACTGTAAGTCACCACTTCCAAGCACACGTTAGAGTTCTGTGCTAATACGTCTTTGTAGCTACCGCCCACGAGGGCTACCGCTGCGGCGATTTCTGGATCCAATGGGGAGAAGCCCTAGGTTACGTCCACGAAAAGACGAACCTGTGGCTGTTCAACCAGTGCAAAGACCAGATTTTCGATGCTGCTCTGCATTCCAAGGACTGGGTCAAGTGCGAGGTCACAGGTGGCTTCAACAAGAGAATGATGGCTTACTCGCCGCACGGAAAGCGCGCTTGCTACAAGAAGGACCTGAATGACCATTCCCCGTGCAAGGAGCGCAAGAAAAAGACCAAGAATCCCGAGAAGACCATCGCAACCACCGCCGTCGAAACCATCACAGCCACAATCGTCCAACCAACCACTTCCTACAGGGAAGAAGTGACGACTACTCAGAAACCTATCGTCAGCACCGGCATCAAAGAGAGCGTCATCACCATGACCACCAAGGTTCCATTCACCACTACGATGTAAACCACGAAGCAGCGAACGAGCGAGGAAGTGACAAGTGCTTGGAAAGAATGCAATGAAGAACAGAGAAGCGAGAGAGCAACAAGGGCTTGGAAGGACTCTCAGGGATTCGCTATGATCGTTCTTGAGGTGAAAGGCTCTTCCAGCTCAGATAGTATCGTACCTGGAGCACAGAAAAGAGATACTTTTGAATCACGAAAGTCTTGAAACAACGCTCAGAACAACGAAAATCATTAATCAACTTGTTCATTTCTCATGGATTCGGTACATAAGGACCACAATGCGCCCACGTTCCATCAGCGTATGGATAACATCCGTTCCCAGGATTAGCGCACGGGTAATTCTGTATTCCAGCAACGTCAGCACCACGCGAGTATAACATAAGCCTTCCATCAGGTCGTTCAATTTTGAAGGACAGAAGACAGAATATCAATCTTTGGACCTTTCTTACGTACCCAAGAGCATTGATTCCTTTTGTCACCCTGCTTCCAGTTGTCCGGAATACAAGCGCCGTTGTCACCGGTGCGATCATCGTTGATACAGTTCTGTCAATTTACAGGTCAGCATGCGTGCAATGCAATACAGCCGGCTGCAACTGCATTGTGCTTGGCGTACCCAGTTCTGTCCCCGTGCGAACGACGAGAACAACGTCACAAGAATGGTAGTGGAGAGCTTCATGTTGATGTAGTATAATGGAGTTTCGATAATGTTGAGTCAAAAGTGGGTGGTGAATACAAAAGATATTCCTGCACGTGCACTATTTATGGTGTTCCACCGTACATATGTACTTCCACGCCCTAGCCTCAAGTCGGCCGCAGAGTTCACAATACGTAAAGCATTCTCAGACCGACAGTCCCCATACGCCGTCTAGGTCTAGAACTATCTAGTATGGCAAGCGCCGAGAGACTAGGCATCGATAACCCCGGCATCAGGGCTATGTCTCACTCTCCCTTCGTATCCCTGAGGTCCGCTTCCCGTGTCGACAGTCTCTTTTCCTTCACAACGTATATCCAGACAATGTGTTGGATGCGCCATAATACAAGCGGGCGTCTGCGGACCTCCCTTACTTTGAGCTTCAAGTGCAGTACGAGTTTACTGCACTACCAAGTCATCTGAATTCGACGATACATGGGACCAAACTCTCGGGAATAGAGCATCAGGCCGGAGTTCTGAGCCGAGCACGTTTAGCCTATTCCTCGGTCGCCTACCTTTTCCGAACTTAGATCTCTAGCACTAATTAGCGGCAGAACCCCTTTTAGTCAATCGCGTATGCCTCTAAAAAGGTAACTCGAATAGTTGAAGGCTAGGCAAGAAGGGAAGTCGACTGAGGACCAAGGAACTTATATTTCATGCACCAGCGTAGCTATAGTCTATCATTACATGACAAGCAAAAAAATAAAACCTCAAAGAATGCAGCACCAAATCCTCCCAAGACGAAGCAGAATGAGGTCCCCTTCCATCCAAGTAAACTCGTGTTTTCATCAACTCCTTTTCTTCATGCGTGTGTGCGTCCGTTTCCATTCCAGCCTTCCGTGTCATCGATCATCGAGACCAAGCTAAATTGACCTCGTCCGTGATGTCGTATCGTGTCACTGGTGTTCGATCGTTTAAGCAGTTGGGGCGGTGCAGATGAGTCCCTGGCCGAGCTGGAGTGCGATGTCAGTCTGAAGGGCTCAAATCAATCTGTGGAGTAGACGCTTACGAGAGGGACGGCACAGCAGCGGGCGCGCTGGCCAAGTGCGGCGCACTGAGCGATGAAGTTGTCACGGGACGTGATTGTCTCCTCGACTGTTGATATGTTAGTCTTTGTTGCAGTTTCATAGCGGCTGGGGTAGAATACCAGGAGCGCAATCCAAGTCGGCCACGCCGAGAACGTCGGTGGAGCAGCACTGGGGAGTGTCGGAGAGGCCAGTGCATGCGTCGAATGGAGTGACAACGGCATCGTCGTCCCCACCGTTGTTGCCATCGTCGCCTCCAATAATGTCATCATCACCGCCAATGGCACCGTCGTCGTTTCCAACGGTATCGTCATCGTTGTTGGTGATGTCGTCGTCGCCGCCGATAGCAATGTTGTTGCCGTTGCCTGAGAACTGTCAGATCATCCATGCACATGGGCACACGAGCATGCCGAAACGAACCATTGCCAGAGTTGTTGCCAGAGTTACCGTTTCCGCTGCCAGAGTTGCCATTGCCATCACCGGAGTTTCCGTTGCCGTTGCCGTTGTAGATGTTGGGGCCCTGGCCCTGTGGGTAGTAGCCACCATAGGCCTCGAATTGGCGAGCTGCGAGGCCAGTGTTGGATTCAGCCTCTGCCTCGCGCTTGAGGGCAACAGGAGTAGCGATGGCCATAGAGGCGACAGCAAGGAGGAAGAACTGCATTTTGGTTGAGTTGTGAGGGTGATGTTTGGTACAAGTGTGATTGTGACGAGTGTGAAGCGGTAAGCGGAAGGAGTGTTGTGAAGACTGTGCTGGTGCTGATGAGAATGAATTCGTGGGCAATGACCGCAGTATATATGCCTTCCGTTGCACAGGGGCAATGTATTGGCGTTCCTATTGTGAGCTCGTACTTGCTTCGCAGCTGGATGATTGTGCATAGCTCGCAGTCCCGTCTCCCGTGCCGGCAAGACGGGTCCATCATTGATTGCATCGATCAGCCACAACGCAGGCTTTGGAAAACGTTCGTCTCTTGCGGTTCAACAAGCGAAAGGATGCGTGGCAGTCGTGTGGCGTCTGTAGAGTCTCAGCCATGACAACGTTTCTGCAAGTTTGGCAACGGGATCATGGTGCCACAATTCAGGAGTCGGCGGCTCGAGCATCTGCACAGTAGCGTGAGCGTTCGGGCAGAGTGCAGCTATCCACACCGGATGTCTTTGATCGTCGACGACATGATCAGCCCTCGTATGTGCCGGACTCGCTGTCATGGCGGCACGCGGAAGTCACGAGCCGAAGCCGCGGAGGGTCTACAGCTTGCTTGGCGAACAGCTTCCATGGACTGCAAGTGACGATCCCACTGATAATAGCACCCACAGATTCGTTGCTGGTGATACTTCTCCTGTGCACCTGGGCAAGCCATGGATCTCCTCTCGCTAGCCAAGGAGTTGCGCGTGCCAGTTCGCGATGAGACATCCTCACCAGGTGATGGCGGCGATCTCCTACCGTTCGAGACGTCAACAGCGGAGCAGTGTCAAAGCGCAGCACGTGAATGCAGTACGATCTTGGCTCATCGGAGTTTTTCGCCACTGTAGAAGAAATCGTGCGTGGTAGGAGGCAAGCAATCACATGGAGCCAACGATTGCCCCAACGTCTGTCTCTGCACGAAATTGACCTGCCATGTGAGCCTCGCATGTCAGCGTCCAGAACAAAAGATGACCGCACGCGTTACATCTCGAAGGTCACGAGGCTGGTCCAGTATCACGTGTTCTGGACAGGCTCGGCCAAGCAAAACGCGTCTGCGGCTTCGCAAGGCAGCGAAGATGCCCTGGCACGGCGGGAGCCCCTCCGGTTCCCTCAGTGATGTCGAAAAGGGCCAAGTCTTGCCCATGATATCCATCGACCCGGCTGGTGCGCGGTGTAGTAGTCTGGAAGCGGCATGCATCGCGCGAACTCGCTGTCTTCTGTTCCGACTGTGCCTCAGACGGGACTGCGAAGCCGGTCTGTCATCTCAAGGCGGAGCACTTCAACCTCGCGAAGTGCCTCGTTCCGGCGGAGATTTGCAGTGTTGTGAGACATGGCGACGTGGTAGCGGATCGCGTGGCTTGGAGGAGATGCGTGGTACGCGGTATCTGGGTGCTGTTGGCACGAGGGAAGAGGAGAGAAGTCGAGAGCGGAGGAGGAAGTCGGGAAGGTGGGTCTCGGAAGCGCGTAGCCGACGAGCCGGGCATTGCGATCTTCCTCTTCTTCAACCCGCAAAGCCGCGCTGTCTTTGCATTCCTCCATCGACTTCAACTCACATGGTCTTTTGTGCCATCGACTCCAACGGGCGTCTGACAGCGACCTGCCATGCTACGTCGCTGCGAAGCGTTAAGTCCAGCACCGGTTGTGAAATCGCTTGATATCTCCAGCTCCCACCGCGACATTGCCAGCCTCGCACGAGTTCGATTCGACAAGGCGAAAGTAGCACCGATGCTGTCGCGACAACTTGCAAGCACATCGCACAAGATGGAGGGAAGGCGTTCAGCGCTCTCTGGCTGCGTCAACAACCCTGGACATGCGGGCTGCCACGACAGGACAACATTCGATGCACTGTTGTGACGGAGAGTGTTAGCTGGCGCATGAGAAGATGGCACGTTGAAATAAGCTCTTGCGAATCCTGGAGTCTATACATGGGCAGCACTGTACCAAGCCGGAGATGGAATGTCCATGACCTAAACCGTGCGTGATTGGTGAGCTGTGGAACTAACTCATCCTCGACATTCGTGGTTGCAGTTGATTGTGATAGTGGAGCGTTCGTCCCTCACTGTGTGGTAACTTCACTCGGTGCGTATCGGCACGGACCGTGAATTGAAATCTACGTGACAGCGACAGCTGGATTTTTTTGTTTCTTTTTGCACGGAACTACCACTCAGTCCTTCCCCCTCTCTGCTTTCACGAAGCAACATCGAGAACAGCACACTGCCAGATATTCTGCTGGTCCGTCTACGGTAACGGGTAACGATGAAATTCTCTATATTATTGGTCGCAGCCACGCTGTCTGTGAATGGCCGAGCCATGGCTGGTGAGTCTCCTCCCGCGGGTGAGAATCCAACGAAGCAGACAATAAGCATTCCCTGCGTCCGATCGAGACGGCACCTAACACAGTAGCAGCCTGGGGACATCAACCGGATCTGCCAGGTGGCAAAGTGGCTCTCAAGCCAAGGCACCATCACAGCACGTTCAAGCAGCTGATCGATCACAAGAATCCAGATCTGGGCACCTTTGACCAGCTCTACTTTTACGATACGACACACTGGAAGGGTCCCGGGTCGCCAGTAGTCTTCTACACGCCGGGCGAGACCAATGCAACGAATAGATGGCTAACCTCCTTTCAGATGACGGGCCACCTGGCGGAGCGCATTGGGGCAGCCACGATTGTGCTTGAACACCGCTATTGGGGCAACAGCAGTCCCTTCACGGATCTGAGCACTGCGAATTTAACATATCTCACGCTGGAGAACAGCATCAAAGACGTCACTCACTTCGCTCGCGAAGTACAATTGCCATTTGCTCCGAAAGGCGGGAGCAATGCTCAAGACGTGCCGTGGGTAATGATGGGCGGCAGTTATGCCGGTGTACTCACGGCAGCTGTTGCACGAGTCGACCCAGGAACTTTCTGGGCATACCTTGCTTCGAGCGCGCCTGTGCAGGCCATCTCAGACTACTGGGCCTACTATCTGCCCATACAGCAAGGCATGCCTCAGAACTGCAGCAAGGATGTATCACTCGTCATCGAACATATGGACGGCATCCTGACGCACGGCTCCAAGGAAGAGCAGCGTGCTCTCAAATCTCGTTTCGGCATGCAGGACGTTGAGCACAACGACGATTTCATGGCTGCCCTAGCTTTGGCCCCATGGTCTTGGCAAGGCAACCAGTTCGGCGATGATACAGGCTTTTGGAAGTGGTGTGATTACATCGAGAATGCTGTCAATGCGAAAAAACGGAAGATCACCATCCCGGGTCCAGAAGGTGTGGGTCTCGAAAAAGCTCTCAATGGCTACGCCGCCTGGTGGAAAGACGTCAAACTTCCTGACTTCTGCTCATCGACGTACAAATATGCCGAATTCAACACCACCAACAACACACGGTGCTACGACACATACAATGCTTCCTCTCCTCTCTTTACTGACACTTCGCCGGCGAATCAGGTCAACCGTCAGTGGATCTGGATGACCTGCAACGAGCCTTTCGGCTACTGGCACAACGGAAGCCCTCCAGGTCGACCTACTTTAGTGTCACGTCTTTTGACAACAGACTACGCCTTGCGGCAATGCGGTCTCATGTTCCCCCCAGGCCCCAATGGAGAGACATATGGCCTCGCAGCAGGCCGCACAGAAGCGGATGTCAATGCATACACGGGTGGCTGGAGCAATATCAATACGAGCCGCCTGATCTTTGTCAACGGCGAATTCGATCCCTGGCGTGAGGCAAGTGTCTCGGCAGACGCTGAAGTCCTGCCTGGAGGACCATTACAGAGTACTCCACAAGTGCCTGTCGAGATTGTCCCGGGTGGCTTCCATTGCAGTGATATGAGTATTTGGAATGGTATCGAAAATAAGCGCGTGAGGAGAGTCCAGAAGAGGATTGTCAAGCAGTTGGAGGTTTGGGTGAAAGAGTGGCCGAAGAAGAGGAAAGATTATCGTGGCTGATCGGACATGGGAGTATATCACTAAATGCTGGCTGCCAGCAGCCTGGGCGAAACGCAAGTTCGATTTTGGAAAAGTGCGCAGGTCCCTGCTGACCAGCTTGCAGTCGGTCAAGGATGGTGGTGAAGTTATTTGGGCGAGACCTCCCATGCTGACTTTGGCACAGGGAACGACATTGGCGAATCTATGGTCTGCGACAGTCCTGTTTCTTGGCACGTTCTCGAAATTTTCTGAGTTCGTGCGTCGCGACTTTGGATTGGAACATTCCCAGCTCAATGAGACTCGGTTTACCCAAGATTCGAGATCGTACAGCTCAGGAGAGTCAGCGCTCAGGAAAATCCACAATTTTGTTCAATGTCTTTAGCAAGCTTGCAGGCACTCTGATAAGATACAAAATCGTTTTTCAAGTGCTGGAGACATTCGAGGGCAATTTCCGAAAGCGTGTCGAGTGAACACAGTCAAAAATTCGCGATAAGCCTGCTCATTGCACGTGTTGGATAATCCAGAGAGTGAGGGGATGCTTTGCCTTTGACAGCAGCGCTCTAATGTTGGACTTCATGTCACTTCCATCGTACGAGAGGTAGATCCGAAGCACGCATGCGACCCGGAGTACTACCATTCTCCACGCGATTGCATGCTTCTCTGCTGCTCAGCTCAAACATGAACACAGTTGTGCCACCTGAATCGGACTGGGATGCGACCACCTTCTCCTGACGATGGGACCGGTCGTTCCTCCGCACAGCGCAAAGCATCTCCACAGCGCAGTCCATAATCTCCAGAACCGCTCGGAATGAGACACAACAGGAACCAAGTTTCTTGGACGACATTCTTCCCCGTTCGCATGGCACAGCCCGCGGGCAGCAGCAAGTGTTTGCAATCACACAGACACGGAAGTCGCGCTGTGCAACCAACTCTGCGACGAAAGAGTAGGACAATGTCCTTGTCTAGACAACTCTTCGTCTCCCACGGTATCTGCGTCGTCATCAGCGCTGTTAAAACAGCAGTGAGAATAGAAGTGAAGGCAACGCGCATGTGGGCTTTAGCGCGACGCTAAAGTGAACCGTGCATGAGAACAAACACTCGCTTGGCTCGTTCAATTCTTCTCGCTCGAGCATGCGGAAATTCCGTTTCTTCGACAACAACAAACCTGCACCTCTTTTCGTTCCGCCTCCGTCGCCGGCTGCGTCGTCTATCCACCCACCCACATCGGGTTCGCAAGCGATACTCGAGGGCAACACCAAGATCATGGAGAAGAAGAAGTTGGGCTCGCTGGTTGCGCGCTGTGTTCAGGTATGTGGCATCGACAGCCTTCTTTCTCCGCGGCCAGTCGCGGTTCTCAGCTCGTTCGTTCGACTTTGGATTCAAGTCGGCGCCAGCGCGCCTGCTGAGACAGCGATACTAATGCGATCGCAGTTCTTCTCCGCGGCCATCGTTCTCGGCCTCTCCATCTCCATCTACAAGCACCTGAAGCACTTCCTGGGCTTGTGTCACGACTATTACGCCAAACGCGACTGCGGCAAAGCGATCGATCCATGGACGCCAGTACACGCTTTCTCTGCTTGCGTTGGGGTAGTCGGGCTGCTGAGTGCTGCGATCGGCATCATTGCCACGGTCACATCGCTCGGAGAAAAGAAGATCGTGGCCTTGGTGACCACCATCCTCGACGTGCTCGCTGCTCTCTTCTTCTTGGCTGGTGGAGTGGTAAGTGAACAACACGTATCATTGTGGAGGACATCTCTGACCAAATGACTAGACCTCTGCCGTCAAATACGCCGGCGACGTGATCCCATGCGACTCGCCACCCAAGGAGCATATCTTGACCTTACCACCATGTTCTCGCGCCAGAGCCGCCACGGCCTTCCTCTTCATTGGGCTACTGGCTACGCTCGTCGCCTCGGCCCTCGCTTTCTTCAGTGGTCGAGCCAGCGGCAAGCGCTCTACTTCTGGCCCAGTCGGACATGAGCTGTAAGGGAGTGACTCCAATGTCAGCGATATCTCAGAGGTGGCGCATGGAACTACGCGGGAGGAATTGTCTTCTCGTGGTGCTTGGAGAAACGAATTATGCGCATTGGTGGGTTCTCGGATTCTTGGGATTGCTTTTGCGTCCGATTGAGAGGCAAGGAGATGCTTGAGGTGGGTCGATGATCGGGCAGTAGCAGTATACTTGATCTGCAAGAGATACACGATGCAGGCACAGCCGCAAAGCTTTTAGACTGTCTAATATATTGCCCGCAAACCATGCCCCGTCCCTCTTCACTCGTGCAGGCATCCGAGCGCGTCCGCGTCGCTTCAGATGGTCACGTGGATCACGATATTTCAGAGGAATATTCGAGGTCCGATGCACAAGAGTCATTGACATGCCGGCGATGCGATTTCCGTAGACAATGCAGAAGTGAACGAAGAAGGGAGGAAGTGACGCATGCGAAAATGACCCCACATCGGAACATCATCGCGCCGGTGCCTGACAGCTTGATTGCAGCCGACGAACTCCAAACACATCCTCCAACCAGACATCCACATCAACTGCACTTCCAACATGGCGCGCAAAGGCAGTGCTCCGGCGAGCGAGCCTGTCGCTGTGGAGATGGGCAATCTGCCTCCGCCGACCTTCGATCTCGAGAACTGGGCCAACAACTACGAAGGTGTGCCACCTGCTGCATTGCAAGACCACATCCACTGACATGCGTGATATAGGCACGCTGCTCGCCTTCCGCCTCGCACATATCGCAATTCGATGTCCCTCGCTCTCGCACCAAGCCCTCACCATGGCCCTCGCCAAAGCTAAAGCCGGCCGAGACGTCCAACTCTACAATCGCCTGACCGAGCTCGCTGGTAACCTTGGCCTGTCAGATCTGGCTGGCGTGGATGTGGATTGGGCATCGCAAAAGGACGAGGAGAATCGACGGGAGCAGAGTCGTTTGGAGAGTGAGCTGAGGGGGTATAAGAATAACCTGATCCGCGAAAGCATTCGCATGGGTCAAGAAGATCTGGCCACACACCTGCTTGAGACCGGAGGGCCGATCCCAGATCCCTCAAATCCGCAGTCAGTGAGCACTTCCGGTTACAATGCGGCGTTTCAGGCATTTGGAAAGATGCGCGACTACTGCACCATGCCCACGCACATGAACAGCATGTACCTGCGATTGATCTACACATCGGTGCTGCAAGCAGTGCAGGCGCAGCTGAACGGCGGCTTGGCCAATACACAATTTGGAGGGCTTCTCGCCAACGCAACGCGGCTAAGGAATAGCGGGAGCAAGGAAGAAGAGATGAAGCAGGTAATACCGATCTACCACGTTGGCACGGGCATCGCACACTTAGGGCACAGTGAGTACTATCAGGCTGCAGCGGCGTTTCTGCAGACGCCCTTCGACTTCCACAACTCAGGAGTGGTACTGGGCCAGAACTTCGAGCGCACCGTGGCCAATGCCAATGATGTTGCGATTTACGGTGGGCTGTGCGCCCTGGCGACCATGACCCGCGATGAGCTTATGGAGCGCGTGCTGGGAGGGCCGTTTCGAGCTTTCCTCGAACTGGAGCCGCACATGCGCAAGGCCATCACACTGTACACGACAGCCAAGTACCAAGCGTGCATCGAGACACTGCGACGATACTACAGTGATTGGAGTATGGACATCTTCCTCGGCGCGAAAGCGAGCAACTACCCTGGCTCGCACGTCGACCAGCTGTTCGCCCACATCCGCGAGTGCAGCATCACTGCATACTTTTCGCCCTTCTCCGAGGTCAGCCTCGCCGCGCTGGCCAACACCTTTCCCCCCATTTCCAATGCACCGAACGCTATGGAGCTCGAAATCCTGGGCATGATCCAGAGCGGAAGGCTCGATGCAAGGCTGGATGTCGTCAACGGTATCCTGATCGCTCCTCGAACGGAGATCCGTGCCGCTACGCACCATGAAGCGAAGAAGACCGCGGAAGAGGTGGAGCGAACACTGCTGTTGCGGCTGCACAAGGTCAACATGGCTCTGGCGGGCTTGGAAATACCAAAGGCTAAGGGTGGATGGTCAGAGTATCGAGGAGGTGGCTTCTAGCCAGCCACATGCTCTGGGCATGGATATGGGTTGTTTGAGTGTGCTTTTGCTTCCATAAGACATAGCGAGGCGTTCGGAGGGTGGGCAATACCGGCAGTGGAGCAGATGAGCTAGACGCTGCGGACCTCTAGATGATATGCGATTACGCGCTCAACGTATGAATAATGAGTGAACGAAGGTCAAACGAGCATCGTCTCTTGGGAGCGCATATAATTCTCGTCGTACCGTGATGCTTCTGTCGCGCTGCATCCACATCTGCTGGAAACGCGAACATCACGCGTCGGGTCGATCAGCCGTACATCCCGGTCAGGCTGAACTTCCACACGCATCTGGATGCGACTTTCGTTGGGACCCCTTCCTCTTCGATTGGCGTAAGCTGCATCATCAGGCAGCCACAATGGAGGAAGCTGGGCAAGATAACAAGACTACAATCGCAGTCGCAGCTCGGACTTCTGATGCCTCGCTTGAACCTCTGACAGCTGCAGCTGCAGTCAGCACAAACTTCACTTTTACTTGCAATGTCCAAGCAACGGTGATATCTACGGCAACGGAAACATCTTCTCAGCTGGAGTCCGCGACCTGTACGACATCAGAAGTGACTGGACCCGATGAGGGCAATGTTCCAGTCGAGCCAGCTACCATCAACCGCCGGCTGAAAATTTGGACTCCGCCTCGCCTGTTGAGCCTGCCAAAGAAGTAACTCCGCCACAACCATGCGGCCAGGAACCCCAGACCGCTGCGGAGCCAGAAGCATCAAAGGCGGCTGCGCCGCCCAGTGAAGACACTGGTCCAAATGAAGTCGACGCGGCGTTGCCGCTGAGGGTACAAGCTGAACCGGAGATCACTGAGCAGGAGCCAGCCACGACAGTCCTCGAGCAGGACGAAGCAGGAGGCTCTCCCAAAATTTGCGATGAAGTAAGCGACTCGGATGTCCCAAATCTGCGAACCGTACAAGAAGCTGCTGAGTACTGGTTCGAGAGCTCCGTATTCGAAGAATATTTCCAAGCACTTCGATTCCGTGTGGGCAAAGGGATACGGGAAAGCGAATTCTGGATTCACACGTCCGTGCTGCGTGAGCGAGCCGATGCCTTTTACGACAAACTGATCGACGAGAACTTGCTGCACAACATTTCCGACGAGGATCAGCGGCAAGAGGCCATCTTGACATCATGTGCGAAGTCCACGTTCCGCCTCTTTGCAAGCTGGCTGTACACGGGCCAAATTATTGCTCTGCCGCTTTCGTGTCGCGATCATCCAGAAGATTTCGAACCAGAAAATATGCGGCGCATGGTAGCGGGCTCGAAGATCTCTGTCGATCAGGTTCACGACATTGACTTGGTGCGACTCTACAAGTTTGCTTGTGACGAGAAAATCCAAGATGTTGCCAACTTAGTTGTGACCACGCTATTCGTGCAGAACGACCAGAACGGCAAAACAGCGTCCAGAGGGGCCATATCTTTCTTGGTGGACAACGTTTCCCGTGGAGATCCGATACATATGCAAATCGTATATGAGTGTTGTCGTCGCATGACTTCCCGCAATGTGGTTGCAAGCCTCGGCGACTTTCCCAGAGAGTATGGGCAGAATGTTCTCAAAGAGATTCTCAAGCAGCGAGAGAAGCCCGAAGGACCAAAGCTTTCAAAGAACCAGCAAAAGAAAGAGCACAGGCGGCAGGTGTGCGAAGCGCACGCCCATCGCACCATGGCAGAAGCTACAGCGTGTCAGAAAGAACTTGTTGATCGGACAGGGCGAAAGATCTTGAACAGCTCGACTCAGTAAGTCTCGCTTCAGCGAGAAGCCACGGAACCAACTGACAATCGCAGTGACCTGTACGGAGGTGTACTCACCGTTACAGTGGGCCCCGAAAGATTACTTTTCACTGTGCACAAAGGCTTGGTCTGCAAACACTCGGATTATTTCGCAGGCGCCTTTCCTATCTCCTGGTCTGTCTTTAAGGAAGCGCAGGAGAGCAAGGTCGACTTACACGAAGAAACCGTTCGAGACTTCTCGTTGTTCATGAACTGGCTGTATGAACAAAAGCTCTGCCTTCCTCGCGCTGGTGACTACAGCGATCTTGATGATTACCAGGATGAGATAGAATTCATTCTCGAGACAGTCTCGCCGAAGGAAAATGCGCCAGCAAGCGCCAGCAAGGACAGCGTCGCCGATGCTTTGAATACTGTGCAAAATCAAGACGCCAAACCGGCCCTTGACTCGCCATCCGAAGCAGGATCCGAGGCGTCTGATGACGAAGACAGTGATGATGACGACGAGGAGTTCGGCGGAGGCCTTGCTCTTCATCCCCGCCAACAGTCGATGCTAGTGGATCTGTTCGCTTTCGCGGACCGCAGAGGCGTCGAGAAACTACGAAACGATATCATGACGCTTCTGGCCAGGACACGCGAAGACGGTTGGCGTCTCTTATCCTTGCATCACGAGCTGGTCGACAAAATCTACAGCTCACTGCCGTCCAGCTCCGCAATGTGTGGCTTTGTGGTTGATGAGGCCGTCTGGTGTTGGTCTACAAACCCGATGGACACAGATGCGCTCGAATCGTACCCCAAGGAGTTCTACGCTGCATTTATCAAGGCTGTGCTCAAGCACGATAGGGACATCACATGTTTGAACACACCATGGCGTACCAATCTCTGCAAATACCACAACCACAAGACCGAGTTCGACAAGGTGAACTGTCGGGAGGCGCTCCAAACGTGGTATACGGCTTTAGAGGTAAGAAGCCAAGATGAGTACATTGCCAAATACGGCGCCTTCGCCAAGAAGTACTTCGAACGGGGATGATCAACGATATCCTCAGCTTCCGAGCAATTGCCAACGAACATCTCTTTCTTTCCCGAGACGTCAATGTCGACACTACTCTCAATCAGAGCTGGGACTGCCGGTACAACTTCTTCCCAAACAGCCGAAGCCTCTGCCGATGAGCTCGACATTTGCAAGATGAAGCTGCAATGACCACTCTGCGAGAACTTCTCGTCGACATATTGACTGCCGCTTGACTGGAACATAATCGCGCACTCTCGCGTTTCTCTTGATCCGAATGTCCGTTCGTGGTGGAGCTGTACATCATTCTTTCACGCGCTGCATTGCTAGCAGCTCGATCGTCGTCGTTGCGATGCCGTGGTGAGCCGGTAAGTGTGATGTCGGAACGCGCGGTCGTACGAAACCGAGCAGCGTATTCGCGAGCATCAATCCTCATACATCAGCATAAAATTCACAGCTGTCACATGCGCTGAGGTCCAGAAATTGCCACTAGCGCACGCGGTCTACAGGTCGTCCGAGGCAGGTTCTACTTTGGAGCTCTTCCGAGGGGCCAGCTTCACAGCCACTGCGGAGAGTGTACGCTGGACGCTTCTGGGCCGGAGAGTACCGGTCTTCGAGACTTCGGAAGTCGCACTTTGAGGTTTCTCCAGTCTGTTCTCAGACACAGTTGTTCTCGAAGCGCAACAACCCACGTCTTGGGCCGAGTTGGTTGTGCTTGTTGGCTTCTTATCGTCCCAGCCAGGCGGGCCGTGTACCAAATCAGACCAGCAACAGCGGTCGCAAAGTCAATTGAGCTCCCATGTCCGATGCATCATCCTTCATCAAACACTGCGACACGCTGTCACCGAGTGGAATTGATTGCACTCGTATATGCCAGCAGGGCGACGCTGCAGTCTACCCTGTCGCTGCATAACTTGAACCACGGAATAGCGACGTTCATCACGCTTTGTTCTGTTTGCAAGGGATGGCATTGGCGTACGAAAGATCCAATCATAACGGCACAGCGAGCATTCCTCGCTCCGGAAGCACAACCAATGATCGCTGGCGCATGATGAGGGGAGTCCCGAAGCAGCTGGCACCAGACCCAATCGATCGGCGTTAGTGAAAGCCTGCTGGGCGGCGATGAGTCTTCTTTGAGCAACAAAGCATCCGCTCGCTCGCGTGATTCGCTGCAGGTCAGGTGTGGAAACGAACGCACTGGCCGAGGCCTGGCTTGACCCTGCACGGTCTCGCTTTAAGCTTTGAGGTTCGTGGGGACTCCAGCGTCGCCAAGCAGCCACTTTTCTGGAGATGCTGCGGCGGCGATGCGACGCGAGCACCGAGGCATCGATCTGGTGTACCTTTGTTTGCTCTATATGATGGCCAGATCATCTCCGCGCCCGGTTGTACTTCTTTGAAGGTCGTTGCCGCAAGCTCTGCCCTTTCTTTGCACCACCTGGATACCGCGACCATGGCGACGTACGACAAACACGCGGAAGCCGGCCACGGCACTGCGGCCAGCAGCAATGGCTCTCAAGACATGGTGGAGGACCTCAACAACAAGTTGGGATATGGCGAGGAGCGCGATGCACACAACCGTGCGGATATCCGCGAAGAGGACAATCCCAATGTCTACCCTCACGTAGGTAACACCCGCGCGTCGTGCGACCGGGAAGAAAGTTGAGCGACAGCTGACCACGCGACCAGATGTGCTGGCAGCTCTTCGTGGCGTTGACTGCCATGTCCTTCCTCTGGGTCGGCTCACAAATTCCTCTCTATCTCTATGGATCCGTCCTGCCTGACATCTACGCCGAAATTGGAGGTGCCGATGGCAAATACCTATGGATGGTCATCGGATACCTGATTCCCAACTCTGCGCTCTGCCCCTTCGTCGGTGCGCTTTCTGATCTCTTCGGTCGTCGCTGGGTCGCAGCATTCGGCCAAGTATGTCTCCTCATCGGTCCCATCATCGTCTCTACCGCACACGACATGAACGTGGCCATTGGCGGTATGGTCATCTGCGGTCTCGGCGCTGGATTCAACGAGCTGATCGCGCTCGCTGGTACTGCTGAGTTGGTCCCTGTCGCCAAGCGTGGAATGTACGTCGGACTGGTCGTCTTCACGATTCTGCCATTCTGTCCTTCACCACTCTGGGCACAGCTTATTACGCAAGCTGCTGGCAACTGGCGATTCGTTGGTATTCTCGTCGGTGTCTGGAATTTCATCGGCCTGATCTTGGTCGTTTTCTTCTACAAGGATCCCGTTCGTCTGGAGGCTGCTCGTCCGGCCAAGGAGATTCTCCGCGAGATCGACTACATCGGTGGTCTTCTCAGCACATTCGGTGTCACTCTGTTCATGATGGGTCTGCAATGGGGTGCTCGTCAGGTGAGTCGAAAATGCATTTCGCGAGGCCGAAGGTGGCAGGCATTGACTTTTTCATAGTACGAGTGGGGCTCTGCTCACGTCCTCGTGCCCTTCATTCTCGGTATCCTCATCATCATCGGCTTCTTCGTGTGGGAAATTAAGCTGGCTCCATACCCTATGGTCCCCGCTGGTGTGTTCAAGAAAGACAAGCGCACCATGATCGCCGCTCTCCTCATCACATTCTTCAGCGGTGGCAACTTCTTCGTGGTCTTGCTCTTCTGGCCCACCCAGGTCTACAACATGTACGGCAATGACCCTCTGCAAATCGGTATCAGGACACTGCCCATTGGTTTCGGTATCATTTTCGGATCCGTGCTCAGCTTGGTCTTGTTCGGTGTCGCCAAAGGACGCACTACTGCACTCATGATCTTCTGGACCGCCCTCATGACGGCTTTCACCGGAGCCATGTCGATTGCCACCACCTCCAACTTGAACCCCACAATCTACGCAATTCTCACACTCTCTGCCATCGGTATCGGTGCGGTCATCATTCCCATCTCGATTATCGCGCAGGTCGTCGCTCCCGTCGAGTACATTGGTGTCGTTACCGCCGTCACCCTCTCGATCCGTTACATTGGTGGTGCCATCGGTTTCACCGCATACTACAACGCCTTCTTCCACAAGTTCGAGACTGAGTACGTTCTACCAGCCGGCTTCAACGTCGCCGTCGCAGGCATCACATCCGATTACCCAACGCTGTTCCGACTCCTCACATTGGGCGCCCAAGCACAATATGCCGACCTTCGCGCATACATTGAGCAGAGCCCTCTTGTCTTCCGCAAGGACGTGGCATACGATATCATTATCGAGAACTTGCAAGAAGCTTTTGCGCTCGCATACCGATGGCCATATTGGATCAGTATTGCATTTGGTGTCATTTCTCTCATTTGCGCGTGCTTCATGCGCGATATTCGACACTACATGTAGAGAGAGCGAAATGGAAAAGAATTTAGGAGGAGGAAATTTGTACAGATGTTAATCATGACGAGGAATGATGATGACGACGGTTTTTGAAGTGGAGATGGGCAAACGGTCCAGAGGTGGATCTGACAAAGATATCCAAGGCTATCGATCTGGAAAGAGAATTCATCTCATGGACATATTTCTAGTATATTGCATATGCAGCATCATGGCGAATGCATTTTTATGAAACTGAACACAACATTTCAACGTCCACATATTCTCCAAGTCCGCAGACCTTGAAGGCACCTCGATCAGATTGACATGTTGAGGTGTCGTCTACAATCAAGTCACTCATCAAAACGACAAGGCACCCAAGCAACAACGCCAGACGCCAGACACGATAAGCTTAAGTGTGCATTGTAGGGAATAGGTGTTGGCTCACTAATCACAAACCTTGGAGGCTAGGAGAGATCTTGTTGTGGAGCATGGGAATTATACTAATCGTGAGATATCCCAGCAGTACGACTGACCTCACCTCATGGATTCAGGCTCGATGGAAGATAGCACGATGGAGGACATTGTGACTTGTTGAGACAGTCTTTGGGGTTTGCTCCGCTCTGTGAATGTTGCTGGCCTACAGTATTGTGGGAGATTTGAAGAGCTCCGGGCCCGCGGATCTTTCGTACGACCCGTTCGTACCCGATGCCATGCTCTTGGTTGTATGGGGGAGGTAAACAGAACATGTTGTGAAACGTGTGCGACGCCGCTGTTTAAGGTCATGAGCTAGCGTGAAGCCGATTTAGGCGAATGGGATGAAAGTGCCGAGACTTGTGATGTTTGAGGAAGGAGCGAGGTTCTTTCCTTCTCGGTCGACACTGAACACTTCTTCCAAGTGCATCTCGACAACAACATATTCATCTTGCTGAACAGATCTTTTTGGACGACTCCATCGCATCGGCATTACGTGAAGGCCTGCATCATGATATCGGAAACCAGAGCAGGATGAAGATGGCCGGATGCACGCGCGGCACTTTTTCAGCAATGACAGAATGGCAACTCCGAACACGCACTTCACGAACTTGTACGAGGACACAGTGCTTGTGAAGAGAGACCGGGGATCGTACGTGGCCTACGAGCACATCTATCAGCGGCAGTTGCATGTGGGTCGGTAAGTGGTCGAACTCGTCATGTCGATCTTCCTTTCAGGGCAGAGAAATTGCGATTCCGGATCTCATCAAGATATGTTTGTGCAATCAGCGCGCATCGACATTGTCAGTGGGAAAAGCAAGGTAATACATCATTGAACGCGCACAGCGGATCTTGTGTACCCGAGCACGCTGGACACACGACTCGTGGGGCTCACAAATAGCGAACGGCGACCAGCAAACGGCATGCAGAATTGCGAATCTAAGCTCCGATTTGTTTCAGATGCCGCCGACTGCATCCTTATACTTCAATCATCTTTGACGTGCAGAGCAGAGAAATGGAATCTCGAGACACTGGCCCTGTCTCAGCAGCCGCATATACACACAGCACCGCCATGTGGTGCTTTGTGCATCGTGGCAAGCTTTTGCGGTCTGGCACATTTGACAGTTGCGAGAGGCCCAAAACGCCAGCAGCTCGACTTCATCGCCTTTGGTGCATATTTTGAATTGACAACGTCGCAATTTGGCCAGCAAAGCCGGCGTCCAGGCTCTGCGAGTCGCGGTGCCAATTGGAATGATGACCTGCAGTTGAGCGCCGAGTCGTCGAGACAGTCCGCCAGATGCATGATCGAGCGATTCCGCACGTGCGAAGCTTTTGCCCTGCACGAAAAGCCGTCCACGGCATTGCTCCCGGAGATGGCTCCACCTGTGCGCGCCCCGCGGTGATGAGATTATCGGCGGGCGCAGAAGCAGCGGCAGCAGCGGACTCCGCCGCGCGTGGTATGCCCAGGTTTCGGGATCAGCAGCACGCAACCTCACGTCGTCGTCGGGCTGCGTATGGCCTGGGATGAGCTCGCAGGAGGTCGTCGCAGAATCTGCAGCTCTCGGCCACCCGAGGCCGTCGCTTCGGTTGCCTCGCGACTTCGCGTGCACACCTCGTCGCATGGCTGCACGCCGGACGCGCGACGGCTGTGACGTTCTGTCGAGAAGTCGAGAACTTCTGGGCCACCCGTTCTGGCGCTGCACCGAAAACTCTACTCGCCACGATGTGCCACAAGCGACGACGTGTGACACGGGAGTGCGCGTGCTGCCAGCGCTCCACTCTGTTCTCGTTGTGCCCGTTGCACGACATGCACCGCTGCCCGTTTGAGACGAACGTGCAACGCGATCACGGAGGCGTAGGGCGGTGACTTTTCCTCCTTCTGCTCCCCATTTGCCGGGTGGCTCTTCTCTCTGTCACACAGCTCTCCCACCATCTTTTCCTTTCTGTATCCTTCTCCGACCCATATGTCGCTGGTGGCAGACATGAGCTCACACGACCGAGGGAGGGCGAATAGTGCCATTCGAGATGTATCTCCGGTGGGCGCATCTCGCTTCGAGAAACCATACAATCCTCCTCCAGAGGTCAGGACAGTGAAGACCAACCACACATCGGCTGCCAGTCCCACGACGCCCAACAGTGCTGGCACCAATTACAGCAGCTTCAGCAAGTTCTCGAGGCACACCGCTGCCGATTCTGTCTTCTCAAACCAGACGATGGAGACCACGGCAACATCAGCGCCCTCGATCGTGTCGGGGGACGCAGGCTCAACAACGAGAGACAAGCAACTGGATGTTGTCTCTCCCGACGATTGGTTCGCTCGATTTCACTCCGATGACGATATTGGTGCAGCGGTCTCAGACGAATGTCCCGATCGAGCGACCCTCGCAGCAGTTCACGATATTCCGATATACAATGCGGAGGGGAAAGGCATGCCCTTCGGCTCGCTCTACGATCCCGCGACAGCTACACATCAACGACAGTTGATCATTTTCGTGCGGCATTTCTACTGTGGAGCTTGTCAAGCATACCTCCAAGCTCTCACAGAATCGATCAGCATGCGAGAATACTTCTCGATCCCAATCCCCACATCAATCATTGTAATCGGATGCGGCAAACCTGATTTGATTGCGCACTACAAAAAGTTCACGAACTGTCCCTTCCCGATGTTCGCGGACCCTTCGAGAATGCTCTTCAGAAAGCTAGGAATGAATATCAGTTTCAATATCGGAAGCTCGCGACCCGAGTACATGCAAGATATCAGCCCTGTCGCGTGGGCGAACGGACAAGTCAAGCAGATCAAACAAAGCTTGGGCGATCCTGAGGGTATTCGGAAGAGGGATGTGATTCGAGGCGGGAATCCCTTCCAGATTGGAGGCGAGTTTTTGTTTGAAGATGGACAAGCGATTTGGTGTCATCGGATGAAGAATTACAGAAATCATGCCGAAGTCAAGGTTTTGAGGAAGTTGTTGGAGCTGGATGAGTGACAATCAACGAGGGCTTCTTCGATTTCGGATGGAGGAGCAAATGATGATCGTGAAGAGCAGGAGCAGGAGGCTGGGTATAGCAGGGTTGCATCGCTGATTGAGGGCTATGGGAGTGCGCCTCCGTCCTCTCGCGGCTCTGATACTGGGTCGACGGAGACTGTGATGCCAGATCGGACAGAAAACCCTGGATGAAGCAGGATCACGTTCCACGCATAGTGAAGCACTAAGATCTGGCCCAAATCAGATCTTGCCCGCCGGTTGGACTGTACGATGTGGCATGACGGCCCCGCAAAGATCTGGCGGATGCATATCCACGCCCGTTGAAAGCAAACAATTTGCAAACAGCACCCCCTAGACAGAGCCTCAGCGCCCACTTCGAGCCATCTTGGGCTCAGGATTGAGGGACAGCATCGTGCGCTGGAGCTCCGCCTGACATACAAGTCTGGCGTACTTAGGTGCAGAACACTTCGCCATGCCATTGGAATACTGAGGAGCAATCTGGGAGACCGAATATTCAAGAAGCTGTCACATTGAACGTGAGCCTATATCGACCTGGCAGTCGAGCGAACTTGATGAGACGGCAGTTGGGAGTGGGACGAGACGGCCACACGGGACAAACGGAGGTCTAGAGTGATAGAACACAGAAAGCAGAAGACAGCAGCTTTGAGATATTGGGGATCAACAGTGTTGTGCACACATACCCAGCAGTATAGCATATTGCACACCGATCTGGATTATCCGCGACCATAGTGCCTTGAAGAATCCATCCATTTCGTTTGGCCGTCGGCGCCATCAGAACTCCGATCATGCTCTTGGTCAATCGTGCTGGTGTCTTGTGCTGCTCATCGACGATATAATCCTTTTAATTCTGCGAGGACACGGAGGAGAAATGCAACGCTACCTGAATCTAACGCTATGAATAATCGTGAAAGATTGCGAATCAGACCGGTCAAGGAAGGGCGGCTGATCACCCATCTTCCGGCCCTGCAAAAGGAAAGCAAGGGGTAGAACCAGACCTCTACTTGACTTCGTGTTCGTGATACAATGGCTCTACAACCGGATGACTTCCACAACCGATTCGAAGAGAGCAACCCGAACGGTACAAGCAGACTTGTCTACGATAGCCTGTTACTGGAGTAGCTGGAATGTGGTTGGCCGAGGCTCAAACTGGTTTTTGGGCCTGACGCCTTACCAGCCGCACACACTCTCGATTCGACGGGTCCGAGAAGAAAATGGGAACTCCTCACGCTTTTCTTGGTTACGTGCTCTCATGGCTGCGAGTTCCTGCCTTCCTCGCCTCTCGCGCACGTGCCTTACAGGTGCCCCGTGCACGTCCCATGCTTGAAGTTCCGTGCGCTCACGTTGTCGCTCAAGCGAGACCTGTCATGGCCTCCGGCCGTGGTTCAGCTTCGGGCAATACTCAACATCCAATGGCCTGCGCCTTTGCTACAGATCGTCACATCTCCTTTCTGTACTTTATTCCTCAGTCGAGCCATATGCAGACGTGCACTCTATCATCGCCATCGTTCTATCGAAAAAATCATCGCTAGACAGTCTCTCTAGGAGCTGCACTATCCTTTCATGACCCTGTGATCTGGCATAATCCAGCGCAGTCTGCCCCTTATGATCTGCTGCTTTGATGTCGGCGTTGCTCCTTGTTAAGAGAAGCTGCACCACCTTGTCGTGGCTTGAACTCGCAGCAGAGATCAATGCGGTTCGGCCGGCATGGTCGGCCGCGTCGACCTCGGCCTTGCCTTTCCCTAGTAGCAATTGCACTACGTGTTCGTGACCCCTCGATGCAGCGCAATGTAATGGAGTCTCGCCGTTGTTGTTCGCTGCATTAACATTGACGTTGCCAGTCTCAAGTAGGAGCCGCACGACCTTATCGTGACCCCAATATATAGCTAGGTAGAATGAAGTCTCGGCATTTTTGTCCGCTGCATTAACATCGACTTTGCCTGTCTCTATGAGGAGCTGTACTACTTTGTCGTGACCAAAACGTGCGGCCCAGTAGAACGGAGTCCGGCCATCTTTGGTCGCTGCATTAACGTCGACTTCGCCTGTATCTAGCAGGAGCTGCACTACCTTGTCGAGACCCCTAAGTGAAGCCCGGTACAATGGAGTCAGGCCATCTTTGTCTGTTGAATTGACAGCGCCTGTCTCTAGGAGTGGCCCCACAATCTCATCGTAGCTATTGTGTGCAGCCCACGACAGTATAGCGTCGTACCATTTATTCTGTTCATCAGAAGCGGCTTTGCTGATGTCTAGGAGCAGCTGCACTATCTTGTCATAACCATTCCGCGCAGCCCACGACAGTAGATCGTAATACCATTCCTTCTCTTCGTCGATGGCGGCTTTGCCAGTGTCCAGCAGAAGCTGCTTGACCTTGTCGTGGCCGTGATAAACGGCCCAGTGGAGCAGAACCTGACAGAATGTCGCTTCTTCGTCAACCTCGAAACCTTCTGCCTCTAGTAAGGCTTTCACAATGTCATCATGGCCAGCCACCATCGCTACAAACAGTGCAGTACGCCCGTCCCGATTGCGGGCGTTCCAATCGAGGTTCATCGAAAGGATGGGCTGGAGGCAGTCCTCCGTTCCATTCTCTGCAATAAAGTGAAGTACATGCTGCCTTCTTGAAGGACACATTGCGTTCACGTTGCATATGTTGACAAGTTCCTCAATGATTGAAGCGAAGCCCTTTTTGGCTGCAACGTGTATGGCTAGCATTTGGCCATGTTGCGCAAGAGGGCTGTCGAAAACTTCTTTAGGCAGACGGCGGCGATGTTTTCGGACAACTTACATAAGTGGCACGTGGTTGTTTGCTACCGCATACGCGAACATTTGTGAAAGGTGTGAGTTTGACGTCCGAGCGGCAGCTTTCCAAGGATGAATGCCATAAAAATCATTGCGTTCGATGGAAATCTCCTCGAAAAATTCTGCTGCCGTGTGTAAGTCGCTCTTTTGGTTTTCTTTGGCAAGCCATGGGAAATTTGCTGTAGCTGATGCGAGATTGGTGTTGCAGACCAACCAGTTTTCAATGGAGTAACGTAGAAAATTGGTGGTAGAAACCCTGGTTTTGTTACGTCCGGGAACGGGCAAAAACGCTGTCATCTCTGCTGATTTCGAGCGAACTCCGATCAGGATCTTCTGGACCCATGCAACAGACTGTAGTACCTTAGGCTGAGGTACGACAAGCCTGGTCGGCGGTGGTCTCGAACCCAGTTCTCGGGAAGTTCTTTGCTTGATGTGAGACAAACAAAGTGATCCTAACGCAGTCCGGAATGTATTCTCGCTCCACTGGCCAGTCTCGACACATAGTGGCCACGATTCCTGGTGACTTGCTTTGGCCGCCAGCGAACGGAAGCGCTCAGAGAATATGAAGTCCCGCACTGTTGAGTGTACAGGTATAACGAGATGCTCGTCGGACTGTGCATTTGGTATGGCGCTTGTGTCCAGGGTAATTAGACCGGCCCCTGATTTTAGCAGCACATCTGCGAAGGGAATCTCGTCGGTGTCCACGTGACCGGTTTCTAAATCCATAGCTATCAGTTCTCCAAGAGCACCAATGCTCAAGGGATTGGGCGCAGCGCAAGTCCAGAGAAACAGATTGGCCTTGATGGGACGCGCGGTGCCTCGCCTGTTTTCCAGACAGAGCGAGTATACAGCTTGAAGATCAGGCGGAATTTCATCGACGGCTTTCCTCACCTGGGCAGGGGTCTCACAGTCTTCCAAGATGATGTTCAGGACTAAATGGATCCAGAGGAACCTGAGCTTGTCAGAAATGCTGCGTATCTTCTTGCAGCATATGGACTCACATCCCGTTAGCTTTCTGATGTAGCGTCACCTTGACTTCATCCCTCAACGACTCGTCGTACAGTACTTGGCCAGCACTGGATTTGCTGGCGATCCGCTCGTTAATATATGTGTCAATGTCGAATTGGTTGTGCAGGTGATCAATTCGGATTCGGTGGAAACCCTTGAAGCGAGGTGAAATATTCGCCTGGTCCTCACTAGTGATCAAGATCCTTGGCTGGACAAGTTTTAGAAGCCTCTCCAGCCAATGCCAGGGCTGCTTCACCTCCGCTGCTCTGCATTCATCAATGCCATCGATCACCAGAGTGATTTGCTGGAGTATTTGACAAAGTGGGACGACAAGATCTTCGAAGACTTGTGCGATGTGAGGTCTGGAAATGTCGTTGCCATATGCCGTTTCGAGAGCTGAAAGGATATCCCGGGAACTCGGCACGTCAATACCAATCAGGGTAGCGATGAGTTGCTTCGTCAGACTCTCGAAGAACGAAAGAGCCGTGTCGTCGTGGCTGTTGAAGAAGAACATTAACACAGCGGAAGATTCGCCGGATTTGAGGTTGGCATGACACTCGTCGATGACGGTAGTCCTATCAAAGTCAGCTGACAACCAAAGGGCGCGTACAATGCATCAGAGGGATTGGACGCACACAAGAGTACTCTTGCCCGAGCCGACTGTGCACCTGAATCAGCATTCTGCCAAATGGCTGGTCATTGCCCGCTCACACCTTTACCCGAGAGCCACAGACGATGTTTCGCGGGATCTTCGGACAGCCAGGATTGAAAGTCTTCATGCTCGACTAACCACCTGGTTGTATTGTCAGCTTTCCTCCCCGATAGCCGCTGATATGTGGCGATCGGATCATCGTTGGATATCCTTTTGTAGATCTTCTCGAATCTGACAGGACTGGAGTCTATACACAAGGCAAATCAGCACTCGATCGATGAAGTTATAAGTGCCACGTGACTGCCGGATGATGAGACCTTACCTGGTACTGTGAGGCTCTGAGAATGGCCGTACGAGCGTGAGATCCACTTTCGTAGAATGATAGAGTTCTCTTCCGAGAATGGTTTATGGTGTCGATGCCTCAGGGATAGTAGAGCCCACTGGTTATCCTCACTCTGTGCTAGGAACACGCGATCAAATCAGCAGTGGCTCTGATTACAGATCGTTTCTGCAAAACAACAGGACGCCCAGAGAAGTACTCGACAGAGTCGTCATTCGCTACGAAAACTGCCTCCTGGACCACGACAACACCGATATTGCTTTCTTTCCGCGAGGCGAGAATCAAGTACCGTGTTCAGGATTCTACTTGAACATACCTCCACCAAAATTGTATGTACCGCCCGATCCGGTGAACTGAAAGCCAGATCCGGAATTGACATTCTTGTCACCATGGAGAGTACCGATATTGTCGCCGTTGACATTGTGCATGTGGGTGGTCGTAGTTTCTGGGCATAATTCTTCCACGAGAGACTTGATGTCTTCAAGCAGAGCAGCGTTGTTGACGATCTTTCTCTGAGCCAGAAAGGTCAGATAGTCCGAGATTTCTTTCAGCAGCGCTTCGGCGGTCTTGCCCTTGCCGCTGAGTACTGTCTTTGCGCCTTTCCACAGCCGTTCTGATCTGCCCGAGTCAGCCTTGGGATAGGCGCTCTGAAGCAGGTCGTGCAGTTCCTGGCAGGCTTGCTTGCACTTTTCGACCTCTCGTTCCGCGCTGGCCCACGTGTCCTTGTCTATATCTTTGAGAGCTCCCGCCTTGTGCTGAGCTTCCGCACTTTTGAGTATCTCCTCCACCGAAGGAAGCTTCTCTGACACCTTCTTGAGCGTTTTTGGAATGCCCGACTTGTCGTTGACAGCCTCATAAATCTCGATAGCTCTGTGGATGATCTCGATGACTCCAACGACTAGCGAGAAGACCGCAGCTCCGCCTTCAAGGCCTGACATGTTGAGAAGCTCCTCGAATCTGGCACATCACTTGTGCGCAATCGAGGTGTCGCAAATGAGGTGAGCCGGCCGTGCGCTGCAGTTTCAGTAGTGAGTCAATGTAGGAGACTCATGGGTCCAGCTTGCGATGCGACAAGGAAACGAGAGATGGCACGACGGGAAGTAGTGATAAAACCACATGTGCCAGCTGTGCGGGATAGTTGGGGCGGAGAGGTAACACCTCCTGGACACAGCCTTGTGGCGCCTGCAGATGCGCAATGAGCTGCAAGGCTCAATAGTCGAGACTCAGCTGGATGTCAATAAGGGTGTGGACTCCCGCTCGCGGCCCTTATGCTCCTCGCAGGTTGCGAGATGGAGTTACTGCCCAGAGTGTCATGGAATTTTGTGCTGTCCTATCTTCATTGATGATATTCAGGCTTCGGGCCCGCAGCATTGCCCAGAAATTCCACGAATCAGCCACAATGCGGGGGCCGCAGCATCGAAACGACATGCACAACGACTGGAAGAGGTAAGCGCAAGGCTGAAAGCAAACCTGCTGATCATTGTGAGCCAATCCTCCGGCGTTCAATGCGTCGAGTGGCAGACCAGAAGCGCGTCTCGTGCCAGCCGTAAATAATGTCGTGCGACGGTGCGAGGCCGCAGAGGTCGCTTTCATGCGTCTCCGACGCGTCACTATCTGTCAGCCTCTGGTGCCATAACAACGGCGCGAGTTGAACTTGGAGTTGATAGGGTCGAGGTCGTTGTTCGTCAGAGGGCGGCCAGGAAGTATTGGGAAGGTGGAGGTTGTGGTGGCGGTGGAAGAAAGAGAAGTTACCCGAATGCCAAGCTAATGATGCCTGAGGCAGCAGACGAAGTACTACAAAGTAAAGTACGATCAAATAGTGTACGTCACATTGGCACAATTCGTCTGTTTCAGAGTCTCTGAGATGGCGATCTGGCCGCTTTGGGGCCTCCTTATTGAAGCTATCGCATAGTGGAAGGCAAACCACTGTATTGCTCAGCCTTCCGTCTCACCCCCGCGCATGTTTCATGGCCTTACAGTGAGTATCGGTTGCCGTCCAGTACGCTATGTTGGGTTGATTCCTTCCAGCACAATGGGGAAGATTCAGAGTACTGGCAATTCTGATGCTTCGCCCACAGTATCCCACTCTTGATCACCCACCGCTTCGCTCATGGAGCACTGTCCTCTGCTCCTGGAGCATGTCGCCGAATATGAGCAGTAACTCACCCTCCCTTTTCAACCAGTAAAGAAAACCTTATGACTCGACCCTCAAGCCCTGCAGTCTGGCCCTCTTCACCCAACAGTGCCCATTGCGACATCCTTCGCACAGATCAATCAGGTGTGGTCTCTCACTGCGGCCTGAGCCCCGACGATCCTCCACATCGACTCCCGACCATTTCGCCAAACGGTACGCCACCCGATCTGCGTACACCCCCACATCCAGCTTGGGGCGACGACGGGAGTGACACTTCTCACAGCGCTGATAGTAAACTCTCACGTTGTACTTCTGCCCCTTGTACATGCGGATGGTGATGGCAACTTGCTTGCTCGTCCATTTGCGAAACCCACAAGCACTGCTGGTGCATACGAATGACCCGATGACAGGCGAGTCGAATTCGCGAACACACTTTCTGGAGTTGTCGCTTGCGAGGAAGCTGAAGGAGATGCCGTAATCTGCGAGGAAGCGCGTTACTTCGTCGTGCAGCGAGGGCCGCATGTCGAATGAGACCTGATTCGGCCTGACGGCTTTGTGATGGGCAGGCGAGGCTCGAATTTGTTGCGGGTGGGCCTCAGCGGAGGCGAAGTTGCGAATGCAGTCACGGCGGGCGACTGGCGCGGAATGGGCTGGAGAATCGCGGGTGTGTTGCTGCAGAGCCTGGTCGGAGGCGAACTGTCGATTGCATGGGACGCACGTCAGTGCCATGGTGAAGCGGATCCACTCGTTTTGGCGTCGTAGCTGAGGCGGCTGGCGGCGGATGGTTCGGTTGTTTGTGTATTGAAGATCGAACTGAAGCAGATTGAGCGTTTGACAACAACAGCAGAAGCGGCACCCGGCTGATTTTCAACGTAACGCAAGCTTGCTCAGCGCGCCTAAGATCAGTCAGGTGCAAACGATGAGGCTGGGCGACGCCCGAAGCGAGCGCCTGCATGCAGCGGAGCGTGACGCATAGAATGACCGAGAACTCGGTCGAACGCAGAGCGAGCGTCCTGCATGTTCGACAAGACCATACAATCGATGCCAGTCTCCTTGCCTTTTGCTGATTATTAACTTTGCCGATGTTTTCTTTCTTCTGTATAATCTCCTGTGCCGACGTTTGCACTTCGAAGGATAGTTTATCCGCTAAGCAAGTGAAGCTGCCTTGCTCCATTTACCCTTACCCACGCTGCTCATACTCGAGTATCTGAAGCTCCAATTCGTCCAGTGTGCTCTATCGCATGTGTCTCTCCTCGACCTGACCTTGTCTCTTCAGCCTCATGGAACAGAATGACAATGGGGGCATCGATTGTAAATCCGTCAGATATCAGCACTTTTCACGATCTCTGCTCATCGACTTCATTAGAGCGCTCTTGTTGTGCCGCTGTTTTCGACATCTTCCCTGATTGCAACTCTCACTTTCCCTATTTCTACTGCTTTCTTTTCCCCGTTGGTCATCTGCCGTACTATTGCTCTATTGTCAATCCGTGCGTTTCTACTTTGTACTTATGTGGTCAGTGCATCACTCTCCAATCCCGACCCATCAGAAACACCTCAATTCTCCGACCTCGGCACATGACATGGCGAATGATCCTTCGTTCCAGAACAAACCTCCATTTCCTAAGGCGAGTGAGCCAAAAACCTAAAACTCCAAATATCCGTCACCTTACACTAAAACAAATACTTAGAACGCGAACTTCTGCCTGCAGCAGAGCGTAATGCAAAACGGTGTTGTCCCCTCCAAAGTACCTTTGATTCCTCTTGTCTATTCATTCTCGTGCTTCTCGTGCTTCTCGTGCTTGCCGTCTGCTCGAAGGCCCGTAGTATTCCGCTCCGCAGCCCACTCCCAGATCTTCTGGAAATCCCGACACTGATGAACAGTTTCCTGTTCCGCGGCATAAGCGTGGAGACTCGGCTCCCAATGTTGCCTAATCGGCGTCAGATCGCCGTGACATATAAGGACTTGTCGCAGATAGTCGATGCAATGGTCGCCGTGCATCAATTGATATTCATTTCTGGCACCTGGAATTACGGCGCCTTCATCAAAGTCGTAGATAAGATCACGGAGGTATTTCTGGTGATGGGAAAGATTTTTGTCAGAAAAGTTTGTCTTTTTTGGAAGGACCAGATGAACTGCTCGGTCGAAACTTACAAGACAATGCAGTTGGTGGAATAGTGAGAGGAGCACAACGCGGTGTTCAGGATCGTTTCGTACCCTTGATGAGCCGCCATTTGGAAGACGCGCGTTCTCTTCTTCCGTGATTGCGATCATGCCCACGTTCAGGATGTGATGCCATGCTGCGTCGTTTTTCTCGTTCGGTCTGCTTTCGAATGCCGTATCTGGGTCGCTTCCATCGTTGCGATGGAAGCCGGCACGATCCAAGGGGTGAGTTTCTAGCGCAGTAGGTGCGTCACTGTAGATGACTTCGTATCGGCCCAGTCAGCTTCATCGCATTGCAGGCTATAGCGGGCCGGAGGTTTACCTTCGTTGCCGAGAAAGAGAACTCCATTTGTCTCGCCTTTGCTTCTCACAGCTTGGATGTACAGCCACAGCAGGATAGTGCACGAGAGCATCAACATGATTTTGCAAGTGCGTCTGGGCCATTTGCGCTGTGGCTTATCGAACCGCAGCTCAGCATCGATCTTGGTCTCATCTGCTGCCAGCAGGTGTGCATTTTCAATGTTCGAATTAAGATCGATTCGTTTTGCAGCAAACGTCTTCAGTGCACTCTCCTGGAGTTTCTGCAATCGAGGGAGCATGTTCATCTTGTCCGTCCACGCGCAATGCAATCGAATTGAGGCAGTTGCATGATGTACGTGACCTTTCTGGAATGCCAAGTGCTGGGGCTAGGAACGTGCACGTCTTCGGCAGATTTGCTCCGGGGAACGGAAAATATTAGCATAAGGGTGAGCATGTCTTTTTCCGAGCTGAGGTCAATGATCTCTAGGATCTGGAAAGCCCAAATCGCTGTTGGATCTATGTTCCGAATCTTGACTCGGATTCGACAATCCTTCGGCTCAAGTTATGTCTTATTCTTAGCTAGGACTGTAGCACACCATTTCGCATGGGAAATAGCCAACATCGTGAAGATTTATTCCGAGTAATGAGATGGCCGGCAGGACATGCCAAAATATTGGAACGAAGACTTATAAAGCTGTTGACCGTAAAGCCCATTGTCACACACCTTTACGCCAAAACAAAAACAAATTCAGTGTTTTCAAAGAAATCAAACCAAGACAAGATGCGCATCAAACATACCTGTGCAATCCTCTCGCTCTCTCTGAGCTCCGTCTTCGCCGCACCAATGCCAAACGGGGACGTTGCGAAGCCCGACTACCAGTACCTTGTGAAGAAAGGCGTCGAAGATGTCGCCAAGCCTGACTACCAGTACTTAGTCAAGAAGCACGAAGAAGATGTAGCAAAACCCGACTACCAATACTTGGTCAAGAAGCACGAAGAGGATGTGGCCAAGCCAGATTACCAGTATCTCGTGAGGAAGGGCGCTGGAGAGGATGTCGCAAAACCGGATTATCAATACCTGGTGTGAAGTAGTTCTGAGCCGCGCGATCGAACCGAATAGCGAGACGATCGAGGCGCACGCATTGAGTGGGCGAGTCGTGCTTCAGAGATAAGTCAGGTTGCAGTAGTTGGCAGATAGTGACCCACAAGCCGACACTTTCGTCATCTTGTAAACAATGGTGCAAAATCGGATCAAACAAGCGTAGGAATTATCCAAACACTTAGTGAGCGGGATGTGAGTGGAGTGATACTGCGCAAAATTGATCTCATTCCCTCCATCATCACGATGTGCCAACGCAGTCTCACACACTGACCATTGTCCTTCTATTGCATATCTCAAGAAGGTTCTGTTCACTGTCTGCCTTTTTACTGTCTGCAATATTCGAGATTTGATGCCCGTGGTGTGCTCTCTTGTTCACTACTTCATCTTTTCCTTTGCCTACATGAGATCTCAATTCTACGCCAGCGAGAATGACCTACACCCGCACAGGATTCAAGAAAGCCGTCTCGTCGCTGAACGGCTGACTGTCCCAGAACACGAGACACCGAAATTCGACGCTCTCCCGCGGGGGACCGGAGTCCGACGGTGCCCGGAAAGCAGAATGTGGCACTGCTCTCGAGTGCTCATCAAGCTTGGTATCGAAGCACTTGATAAGCAAGGCTTCGTTGGTCTGCATCTTACTCGCATAATACCACTTGTGCTTGGGATTGTACATCGGTCTCCAAATCTCCGAAAGCGGCAGGGGTAGCTTGGGATCCCACTGACTGGGATCTGGATGACTCCGCCAGGGTCGAAGGTCTTGTTCATCGACTGTTCGACGGTCGCAGAGAGCCAATGCGTCTCGTGTGACAGGCGACACGGGCTGCCAGACATTGATCACAGCGAAGCGGCAAGTGGTTCCCGATTCCGTGAGCCTCTGAGCAACTTCAGGTATATGCTTGAAATTATTGACAATGTACCTTCCACCACGGTATGATTGATCTAGATGAAGCAGACATTCAGTTTTGGTGTGCACCACACTGGCGAAGACCGATGATACGTACCGACGTGCACAGAGGCAAATGGGCCCATGTATGGAAACATTGCCTCATTTGGCATGTCTGGGGACAAGCCGTTGAGCTTCTCTGGTGGCTCAAACCGTGTAACATGATTGAACATCAGCACATATGATGCCCCGGTACTATGAAGAAACGTAAGCATCGCCGCCGCGCTATCGCCGCCGCGCTATCGCCGCGTGTCACTCACGTTTCTTTCAAGAGCTCCACCGCCTGAGCCGCCATCCGGCTTGCGATGTCTGTATTGTCCTGGTCAAATATTCTACGATCGACAGGCTTCCCTTTGATGATCTGAAAGCCTTGAACATCCAGAAGACATGGTTCTTCTGTACTTCGAATGTCTGTAATCTCCACATGGTGCGGATCGATTTTGAGTCGATGGATGCCCACTGAGCCGGGAATATAGTGTTGGAGCCATTCCTCGCTTTCCTCTGGTGGTTTGACATAATTGAGGCTTGCTTTTACGACAGTGGGAGCCATGGCAGCGGCTAGTTCGCAAATTGTGAGGATTTGATCGACGACCGGGCCAGCAGCTCACCGAGACTTGAGGCCCATTGTCTGTCAGTCCGAGCGGCCAGCTTTGCGCCATGAAATTCCGTGACAGAGACATTGTTCCTACAGTGCTCCCGAAATGGAAGAGTTACAGGCATACCCGGAACAAACTGTGCGCACGGAGAATTTCCAGCCGCAGACATGTTCCATAGTGAGCCGGTATAATTCCGAGCTCGCAAATCCTCGTCGTACGCCAAAGTTCGACGAAGCCGGGGCGCTTTGTCCTTCTTTTTTCTTTTGATATCGTGGCTTCGGAAAGGGCAGATAGCGACTGGGCGCGACACGTCTGGAATTGTTCACCCGACTGTGCCTGCATTTCCTTTTTTCCATTTCCAAGCCCTGCTCATGCCAAGTGGTCACAGTGCTCTCTACACGTGAGGGATCGCGTTCACGAGCCCCTGCCCGCGTGCTGAAGCGTCGCCCTTCGTATCATGAGAAGACGAACTTGGCGTCATGGGGCATACACCACAGTATATCAGTAAATTGCGCGGTCATCGCATTCTAATCATCGGAGGCACGTCCGGTATAGGGCTTTGTGTCGCAGAAGCCGCTCTGGAGCATGGAGCGAGTGTCACCGTCAGCGGCAGCACTGCGAGCAAGCTCCATACCGCCCTACAACATTTAAGCAAGATCGAAAGCCCGCTCCAACAGACACCCCACGCTGGGGAACCAACAGTATCTGGCAGCATATGCGACCTCAGCAATCCATCTTTACAAGAGTCGGCCCTCCTATCATTGCTAGACACAGCAACTGTGCATGGGAGGCACAAGTTGGACCACGTCGTCTTCACAGCCGGTAATAACATCACAATCTCACCACTCGAGCATGTGACCCCGCATGACTTCGAGCTGATGCAGACTGTACGAGTCTTGGCTCCCGTCCTCCTGGCCAAATTGGTTCCTGCCTACATGTCCAAGTCGGCTCACAGCTCGGTGACGCTCACCGGCGGCACGCAAGCAATGAAGCCCTCTCCGGGCTGGAGTGTCATGGCGGGCATCATGTCGAGTATCTCGGGTTTCACACTCGGCTTTGCCGTAGATCTGCAGCCCATCCGCGTAAACACTGTGTTTCCAGGGGCTGTCCACAGCACAGCGAGCAACAAAATGGACCCGACACTACTGGAGGAGAGGCTCGAAGCTTTCCGGAGAACTACGCTGACGAACACGGTTGGGACCCCGGAGGATGTGGCAGAAGCGTATTTGTATTGCATGAAGAGCTCTTATGCAAGTGGTACCACCATCATTGTCGACGGGGGAAGATTGCTCAAGGGCTGAGAAGCGTATACGTACTGGTTGTGGCTATTGCTTTCAGAGTTTCTCAGATCGATGTGTCGAAAGTAGAACTTTTACGCAAAGAATCGTTACCATCTCAGCTATATGCCATGCCTCCAAGTCGTGAGTGTCTCCGGCCGAAAAAGCTAGTCATCGCACCAGCTCTTTATATCGCATGCCGAGTGCGTGATATTCCGAGGCCTATTCCTCCTTGGATGGGCCGGCTCCCCTTTGTAGCTCAGCTGGTATCGACTCGAACGTCATCCAGTCTCCGACAATGCAGTCAATTGAATTCGTGCCAAGTTTTGCATGGGAAGAAGCCCGGCCACCTATGTACGTGACGTTTGCCTCCGCCAGCATATTGGCGCAGTGGAGGGTATGGTACCAGTTCCGAAACTTCGAGTCTAGTGTCATCGGCTTTTTACCCATCTGTCGAAGCTGCTTTGCCCAAATGTAGGAGCAATGGCTGAAATGATACGTCCCCTGTCGATGATTAGCATCCACTTTCTACATTGTGACTTCCTGTGAGGCTGATCACGCACTTGAACCCAATACTCTTCATAGCGACCTTGGAAGAGTTCTTCATGCGGCATGACATCTTTTCCCTCAGGATCGCGGTAGAACGTCCAGTTGGCGGAGTCGCGGTAGAAGAACGAATCGGAAAGCTCTTTGTCGTAGCATTGCGGCTTCAACCAGGCTGTCATCATGACATCGTACACACACCCGTTCGCTTCTGCTTCCTGCCAATTCCGGCCGCACGTCCCGAGATTGATACGCTCACTTGGAACCTCGAACTTTGCGTGGCGTTCATAGATGCCAAAGGACGCGACCAGTGCTAAGATCAGAGCACACAGCGAAAGTAAAATGGCCAGTGCATTGCCCGTGACCACTTTGGTCCAAGCAGGGTCAGGCCTTCGATATGAGTAGCCAACATCATCGAACTCTTCTGACTTTGATCCGGTGCCATGTTTGGCCAGGTTCTCCTCAACGCGTGTGTAACCAGGGCCGGTCGGAGCCATAGTGAAGAATGGGTGCGGATGGGTCACGTATGTAAGGAACGATTTTAGAGGGATAAAAGCTGTGGGACCGTAGTCGGAGGTGCACCATTCTCCATAGTTATCGGATTCTACGAGTGAGCCGGGGCAGGTTCACCCGTGTCATGTGCATCTTGAAGCTCTTGGTTTCGTTTCCGGTCCAAAAGAATTTTCCGATTATGGCACTGGCTCGATAATAATCCTGGCCACGTATTGTTCCAGAGTGCGCACAATTTCCGACCGTGGCCATTCACGAATTCGGCCTATCTGGACAAGCCGATCGAGCTTATCCCCTATCATATTGTCTTCTCTTAATACGGAAGCCTCCAGGTGTCTGCTGCTCCACAATTGGTTGTCACCGCCGATATGGCATTTGCAGAATCTTCGACCCACTCCCTGTGCTCTTTCAACGACGACGACGACGACCTCAAGTATACGTCTAGCATAGATGAAGCCAGCGTTCCGCAAGTCGGATGGCGGCAGTCAGCGGGCTCCAGGGCATCGCGACCGCGCTGGCGAAAGATTCTTCCGCAGACATGCACAGTATCATTTCTGGGCTTGATTATCGCGACGATTTCGCTCAGTGTCGCCATTGCCTCCTTTCCCGCGCGCATTGTGGATACTCATTTCATGCATGAGTTACGGACGCTCGATCTGGGCGACTGCGGATCTTCCTGGCAGGAAGCTGAGTCGAAAGGTAAACCAACGACGGAATTCCGTTGTGGTCCGCTTGCAATGATTGACGACAAAGTGTTCAGGCTGTGTGTTCGACGTCATGGCAACCGATTGGATTCGTGCGGAATGCAAACACAAAGATTTGTCAGACCAGCTCTTTGCGCAAGGGAATTGGACGTTCTATAGGGATGCAGAAGCGACCCAAGTCATTCCGCACGAAGAGCTACTCCAGGGCAGAGTCTCCCCCTACTACACCGAGGTACTAAATCTCTTCCCAAAGCCCCTTGCGCATACATCGATCCCATGCTAACGAGGAGCCGCAACATCTCAGGGCGCATACCATTTCAGTCATTGCGCTTATGTCTGGCACAAACATGTGCGCGCCATGGGGAAAAAGCACATGCTTCTCGACAGCAAATCCCGAAACGTGCAGCACTCTCTGCATTGCCTTCATATGCTAGCCAAGTCGGACATCACTTACATTAGCAACAAGACCTCAAGCAAGACTGTGCTGGGGAAAAGTAGCACCGGAGATTCCGTTTCCTGTGTCGCTGGTGTGTGGCTGCCTCCGAAGGAATCGTTGGCGAAGGGTTTGAAGTCCATGGCCTTCGAGCATTGAAACACAACTTACACCTCTCTCACTGATGTATCAAGGAGACCGCAGAGCTGGTGAGAATGCGAAAATCTTTGTCTATGTCGGCGGTTTAGTTATTAGAAAGGGTTGGGAAAAATATGCTCATTGCTTTGAGCTGCAGACCTGTGACATTGCTCTTTCCTGCACAAGTCGAAAAATGGTGGCAGTCTGATCCAGTGCAAAGTCATCGTCTCGGGCCAGCCGTGCAAAGAAGCCGAGCGCAAACCCCAACTGCCGGAATTGCGCGGTGTGGATCACGATGCTTTCCAATGACCACGCCGAAACACAGAATGCAGTCAATGCTGCCCGGAGGAACGTTCTGCATGTGAAATTTAGCGGCATGAAGACCTGCGTTTCCTCGGTCTCCACTCACGGTTCTCGATGCACAGCGAGCGGGTCTGCGTAGACCAAGGACTCCAGGATCTCGAACGTGAGCGTGCTCACGGCTTTCTCGACCCTCTGCCGCGCTGGCGAAGCTGCCGGCAGTATCAAGGAGCGACGATGAATGTAGAGAAATATCGTGTATAGAGTCCATCGTGTGTTGCAATCCAGCACGTCTTTGACGTCGGATCTTATCTGACCCGCGTCGGTGATCCAGTCGGCCGTAGTAGCAATTGCAGCCTCGACTTGTTCGACAGTGGCCTCTTGGACTGTGCGGCTGTAGAGCTGATCCAGCACTTGTGAGCATGCTTGAGCAAGTCGGATGTGCATCAAGAATTCGTGGCCCCTGTCATGAGTCGGATGGTCTTGGGAACATGGCAGCTCGGGTGTGAAAAAGTTGTCATTCAATGCCTTTCCCAGCGTTAGTCTTGACATGGTCAGAGGGTGCTGGAAGTGCACGCTTGCCGATACGAATCCCGCTTGCATCCGAGCGGGCTTCTCGATGGAGTACAACAACCAGAACGCGCGCCTTAGTTCCTCCACATCTTCATCTTTGTGCAAGCCATCATCCGCGCCTCCGTGAAGGTGAGCTCTCAGGGCTTGAGCGCGCGAGCAGGCCATGTCTAATAGCTGATCGTCATCCCACGGTGACCAGTGACAGGCAGCAACAATCTAGATGGTGGAAAAGATCAGCGATGGCTTGGTAGTGTGAGTCTTGGTGGGGAAGACTACCAACAATACCACGGCCTGCACAACTCAGCATGACAGCCGCGGAAAGTATGATGTTCCGGTACGCTTACTTTGAATGCCAAGGCAGACGCCTTGTAGCACTGCAATAGACCTGCGTGTGCAAACGCCTGGCGATAGTGAGCCAGAGCCGTTCTATTCCGCTCTTCGCTGTCGTCACTTGTATGGGTGAGTGCCATGCTGGTAGCAACCACAGCGTGAATCACGATTACCTTCTCCGCAATGCGGTCGTGGTTCGAAAAGACCTCTTCAGCCATCTTCATAAGCGAAGCGCGGCTAATGCAGCGGGCACCCCTGGCATGGTCAACAGTGGTGGCCCGACGGTTTGGGACAGGGAGCCTGCGGCTTACCGGAAAGGGTCATGACAGAAGTCTGTTATTTTTTGATAAATATCAGCATCAGCTGTTCAGTGCTCTGCATTAGGGTCGATTTTCCCGGTGCTCTCCATACCTTCCAGCGCAAGTTTTGCGCGCTTCAGGTCCAGCAGAGGCGCATTCTGCGGCCCTGTTCCGGTTCTGCTCACTAGTGATGGACATGCCGCCAAGGTTTGTCCAATCGCTGCACTCAATCTATGGTCGATATGTCCCTCTTGTCGCCACGAGTGGATCACAGACTGCATGATGTCAAGGTACGCAAAATTGAACGGCCCGGCATTGGCTGTGGCTTGTCGATTCGTTATCCCGCCGTCGCTCCCGCCGTGTTCTCCAGACGGGACTTCCGAAGGCACTGACGCAATGTTTAGAGTGTTTCGTTCATGAGTCGAAAGCTTCCATACCTGAAACATGCCGAGAGTGACCCGTGCTCTCCATACCCCGTGCAACGGAGATGTTGCTTTCCAACACTTGCACCTGATATGGCAATGTTGCCAGAAGACACTGCCAGTCTCTAGCATCAGCATCATCAGATACGTCGAACTGGTTGGGCTGGGCTACCGAGGGATCGAGATCGTGGCATTCTGAGCTCAAGAAAATGCCATTATCCAATGGGTCATTTCCGTCCGATGTGAAGAGTCGCTCCACATCTTGTGACATCGAACCAGCAGAGACAGTGGAAAGCAGTGTCGATGGGGTCGGTGAGGCAGATGGTGGTACCAACGGCCACCACCATTCGTCGAGGGTATCAAATGTCGCTGGGTCGTCGATCGTTGATGGTGGAGCAAGCTTGCTCCGCCGTCCTCGCTTTTTGCAAGGCCGATAGATGCATTCCTGCTGCGTCGACTGTGATCATGCAGTGTCAGTGCCAATCGTAGGTGGGATACAGGAGTTGCCTCTGGGACTCACCTCGCAGCGTTGGCATCGCGGGAGTCTGCCATCGCCTGAATCAACATTAGAGCATGCTGGACGTCTCGATTGGCCGATACCGGACTTACATCTAAACTTCTTGGCTCGGCAGTACTGGCATGCTCCTGGTCTTCGCTTGTAATCTTTCGTAGTGCTCATGGCTCGTGGATGAGTGGAATCGACGTTGAATTCGGAGGCGGCACCCTCCATTTCCTTTCCTGCATTCGCCATTATGCAGCCGCCGCACTCTCCGCAACTGCAGTTCAAAGGCAATATGTGAGCCAGAAAGTGCCATTCAGATGATGCTAGTAAATGTGAGCTCGCGATGCTATAGCCCATGCGACCTAGCGCGCTTATTTGAATTCCGTTGGTCGCATTTTGAGGTTAGCGGACTTGAAGAACGGAGTCCGGGGTTGCCTTCGGTCTGCAGACACTGTAATACCACGAATGCGATTGCTGAGCCGTCAAACTTTGGATTCAGCTTTTGCAAAAGTGACGCGCCGGGTGTTACAACTTAAAGCAAGCGATGCCCACGGCTGAGGGCGGAAGTTGTGCTTTTTCGACGCCCTCTACACGGCGACGACGACGTGCAACAAGATTAGTTTTGTGTAAGCAAATTTGCCTACATAGTGTTCGGAGGCGTAGACGGTGGTACCAGTTTTGTCTCGAAGAAGTGCCGAGATAGGCCCTCACCAAACCTGGGCGACGATCCGGCACTTAGCCTATCTTGCGAAGCCCCGGGATCACGAATAGTACAATGTGCCAACTGCACATGTGGAATGGATAGCAGGACATATCTCGAATGCGAGGTATTCGCAACCTGTTTGACAGCGTATTCGAGGCAGCTTCTAGGCAGGATAGCCCCGAAAGAAGCTTGAATTTATATTCCTTGGTTCCGCGAATGCAGATGACATATTGTACGAGTAAGACCCGAATACAGTCGCGGGCGACCGGATTGCGTGCAAGCTCAGACCCCAGCCCTTATATGCGGACTTTGAAGTGTAGTTAGGGCTATTTAGTAGCGATCACTTCGAACATTAGTGCCTATGACTGCTATTCGTATGCATGGGTACGATGCGACAACCGCGAATGATTAGCAGTGTGTCTGTGGAGATTCCGCTTCGCTGTTAGCTTTTCCTATAGAGCCTTTTCAAAACTTGGAGTTGGCTTCTAATACAGCGTAGGTGCTCACTCGGACTTGAAGATAAACCATGATTGACACAGTCATGCATACGAATTGTGGTGGTAAAAGATTTGCCCTGTGGATCAGGCTTAGTATCCTTGCGCCGGCGACCCGGAGCCCGCACTATATGTTGCGAGAGGAGGATTTGTGGGGCTTAGGGTTGGTAGCCCTGAGAGACGGCTGGTCTGCGGCAGTATCTGAATTGGGCACTGGCGTGCCAAGAGCCCACCATTGTATAGGCACGCACACTGTAGAATCGGGCAGAGAGATGAGCACTTGCTGTTGAATATACTTTTGATGACCACCGAGTGACTCCGAACGATACCCGTGACCTCCGCGCTAATTAGCGCGACACTATAAGTAAACTCTATTTTGACTTGCCCACGGCCATCTGGCAGCAACTTGGGAAGAAATCTCGTCAGACTGACAACTGTGCATGTCGTTGTGGCTCGATCAGAGTTGGGCGACAGTCCAGGTGTGCTGATTCACGCGATACTGCCTGGCTATCGACCTATGCTGAACCTACCAGCTTCGGAAGCCTTGCGAAGCTTCAATATCGCACGGAATATTCTCAAGCTCAGGGAGAGTCGCACCATTTTGCTCCAGCTGTCTCCTGTCTTCGATCGAGAAGGATTCCGTGTCGATCGTCGTCCACTCTTCCTCTTCGCGGGCCAGCAGGCCCAGGTATTGCAACCTCCACACGTAACGGCTTCCCGGGACAGCAGTACTGGAAATGCTGCTCCCGTCCCAGTGCTATCGCCTCGCTTTCCAATCCGAATGAGTAAGGGTATGCGTGACAATCGCCTGCTGACTGGCAGTGTCAATAATCGAAACACGGGCTTCTCGTGGTACGAGTGGGGGCGTTCCAAATGTCACGACCGGCCAAGCATTAGCGAGGAATCTCGCTGTGTTATCAACGAGGGCCAGCTTGAAGGTAGTGTTGTAAGGACAGTTCACAAGTGCATTCTTGCTTGGTAAATACACCGCCGATCGGACGGTCTTCGGCGTGACGAGAGGAAAATCATCCGGGAGTCGAGCAGCGATGCCACTGTATGGGACTGTCAGGTTCTGTGCGCTGTCAGTGGAGTTGAGCGCGATGTAGCCGCCGTAGAATGGCAGGCGCGACGGATTGAGCCTGGCAGGCGCCATGACAGCCACACGCACTACGGCCGTCTCTCCAGGCACTAGGCGCAGGGCCTCGGGATGTACTTGGACGTCGGCGTATATTGCCATCAACGACCGCGATTGCTCGAGATGTTTGTCATCAGCAGAACGGATGTCCGGAGAAGCCGCCTTCGCATATCCAGATGCCGCACCGATGTGGCCTACATTGAATGTGACAGTCTCGTCGCCCATGTTCGTCAAGGAGAAAGCAAGCGATTTCGGTTGACGTCGAAGATCCAGAAAGTCGAGGGCCGAGACGTTGGCCACGGTCGTGGTGTGAGCAGCACTCCAAGCATCAATCAATCCGCCTCCTTGTTGAATGACGGGCGCCAGGAAGCCGTAGTCATGAGTACTATTGTCCGTGTAGGGCATTGGTCGAGCAGTCGTAGCCAGCACATTGCGTATGTCATCCGGGGTCCAAGAGGGGTGAAGTTGTTTCAGCAATGCAGCGACTCCAGCCACCAGTGGCGCGGCCATCGACGTGCCAGTGAGCTGTCCGAAGCCTCCGTACAGTCGCGGCAGTGTGGAGAGAATCCTGCCCCCCGGGGCAGCAAAGGTCACTCCACCTTCCCCGGATACAGTTGGTCCCCAGCCGCTATTCTCCGTCATCCTTCCACCGGTGCGGGTGTTGACGGCATATGCCACCTGGTCAGCATGGGCATCCTCGCGCGCGAGGGAAATGGTTACCCGCCTGCCTTGCATGATGTCGTGCAGCATCTTCACTGCGGTCGCGTGCTCTATAGTAGCCAAAGCGCTCGTGTCTGGAAGTTCCGACAACGGCCACGATGGAAAGTACATGCCGGGGAAGGCAAGATCGCCGCCTGCGGGATGGTATAGCAGCACATATCGCGGCTTGATGCGGGCAACGATCCGCTCATGATGGATCGCGAAGAAATCCAGTCGAACCATGAACAGAGTCTTATCCATGTCTGGCATTGCCAGGTGCGCAGGAAAAGCATCGGGCTGCCACGGCATGTTCTCTGGTGTGCTCTCAAGGGGTGCCCACACGTCGAGATGCGGCGGGAAGGCGGTTACGGTGTAATTCGTGCGTCCCGGGACCCAGCGAATGCGGCGCTGCACGTCATCCGAGGACAGCGATCCATTCCAAAAATATGCGGCACTGCTGGCACAGTCGACCGATCCGACAGCCGGAATGCCGTGGGTCGCACCAGGAGCGTGGATGGTGAAGGTTCGAGGGCCCGCATTGCCGGCAGTAAACTGCATATACGTGCCATTCTTCATGATCCTGGCGGCGAGAATGGACGTCGCACTTTCGTAGGGGTCGCTCAAGCCCCACGAGCAGTTGATCACGTCCACGCCTCGCTGCCATGCAGCAGTGAGGGCACTGAGCAACGTGTCCTCGTCCGTGTTGTCGTCGCAATCGAAGACTCGGTGCAACTCGATGGTCGCGTCTGGCGCCACGCCCACGACGCCAAAGTCGGTGGGGTTGGCTGCCACGATGCCCAGCACATGGGTGCCATGATGTGAGCATTCGGCATATGGGTCATGGTCGTCGTCGGTGCCGGTGTGGATGCTGGAGCCGTTGATCCATGTGCGGCCATATGTAATTTTGTTGCCAGGCCCAATGGCATACTGGAAGGTCTTCTGTTTGTAGTCAAAGCCCGAATCCAGGATGGCGATGCGGATGCCCTTGCCTCGGACGCCAGCAGCGTTCAGTCGGTCTACGCCGATCTGCGCGTGCGGGGGATGGGACGCGGTCTCCCATCGGGCGGGGCGTGTATGTGGCCTCGATTGCTCAAGTGGCTGTGCCGCAGGACGGGCTGCTGTTGCGGCGCCGATCCAGGCATTGTGCACGGCGTGATGGCGGCGGATGGCGCGGTGGACGGCAGCAATGTCTTCCAGTCCGTTGCGAGACGTGACATCCAGCGAGAAGCCGTGGAAGAGATCCGAGTGCAAGTCGCGACGCTTGCGGACGACGATGCTCGAGCCATGTGCTGCTTCTTGTGCAGCGAGAGCAGCGAGGTCGTGCACGACGTGCTCGGTGCTCTAGGCAATGCGCTCAGCGGGGAGGAGGGGGGAGGGTGGCATGCGAGACTCACCAGCGCCGTCGCGCGGTCCAGCTCGATGATGAGGTATCGGTGTGTGGTGGCGGTGGCAATGCAGAGCCACAGCAGCCATGCGAGTGCGAGTGCGAGTGCGAACATCGGTGAGCGGGTGCGGGTGCTTCCGACCGGTGCGCCGTTGCACTCGCAGGACGGACGACAACGGATCAAATAACCGTGGACACCTCTGACTGCGACTCCCTCTGAGTGCAAGCGCCCAACCAGATTGGCTCTCGATCCATGGACAGCTTGGCTGGTTGACTGAGCGACCTGCGGTTGCATTAGTTGCATTCAGAGGTACTCACGCTTCCACCTGGCGCGTGCAATTTTCCGGCCCATTTCTCCGTGCACCGTCCATAATGTTCCATGGAGCATGCCTCGCAGCCAGGCGCAGCAGTACTTGGTGGAAAGCCGTGCCCGCGAGCCTTCCACTCAGCCTACTCGTGCCGCCATGCGTCCCATCTGCCGCAATGACGCCGCTTGGGGACCGTTCGTGCGCGGCTGCCGCCACGACTGCGACTTCATCGTGACTTTCGAGCACGTGATCGTGCCCGTCCCATTATCGCTGCTGGCCGTTGTGCTCCTATGCTGCAGAGCGCGACAACTCTGGCATCGACCACGCATCGTGACGCTGGGCTGGCCGCATGCGTGCAAGCGGGTCTGCACCACCCCCCCCTTCCCCCTTTTCCTTTGTCCCTCCGCCCCCTCCGCATTCTTGGCTGACACGTACCAGTGCGCCTACCTGCTCCTCGCGGCGTGCCATGTAGGCGCCCTCGCCGTCTGCGCCACCCTGGACACGCCCGAGTCGCACGCGTACATTGCTTCGGGTAGTCTTGCGTCGCTCGTAGCACTGCTGCTGATTCCGATTGCTCATCTCGAAGCGCGCTGCTCTCTGCGCCCGCCCGTCGTCATGCAGACCTATTTGGTCCTCGATGCCAGCTGGCGCGCGGTCCAGGTGCGCACGTCGTGGCTCGTCGCCAGCAGTTCGACTTTCACCCTCTACGCTGCCCTGTCCAGCGCCATCGTGCTCGTGGACCTCATCGCTCTGCTCTTGGAATGTCTGCCGCACCGTGTTGCAACCCTGACCCTACCCCGGAGCCCAGAGGAGGGAGCGGGGCTGTTCAGTCTCGCCTCCTTCGCCTGGCTCCTTCCGCTGCTTCGCACCGGCTACGTGAAGCCCTTACTCCTCTCCGACCTCGACGCCTCGGCCTCGCCGCCGCGGATCAATCTCGTGCGGGCTCGCACGTCCATTCATTCGCTGAGGTCGCTTGGCGCCCCACTGTTGCTGCCACTGTTGGCCACTGTTCTTCCCCGCGCCCTGCTCGCCGTCTTCTCCTTTGCCCAAGTCTTTCTCCTGAACGCCATCCTCCAGCACCTGCGAGGCCCAGCAGATGCCGACACGAGAAAAGTCGGCTGGGCCCTTGTCGGGGCCACATTCCTGGTATATGCCGGATCGGAGACAGCAACGACATGGTACTGGTATTCCCACGAACGTGTACTGTCCTTGGGACGATCAATCCTGATCGAGGCATTGTACACGCACACCCTCACCCGGACTGTCGAGATGGTGTCAGAGGCAGAGGGCTTGACACTGATGGGCACGGAAGTGGAGCGGGTGCGAGTAGGCTTTGCAGGCCTGCATGACCTGTGGTGCTGTCCACTCGAAGCAGCATTTGCGCTCTGGATGCTATACCGACGTCTGGGTCTCGCAGCAGCCGCTCCCTTGGTCCTGGTGTGCTTCGTTACCGCTTGCATTGGACTCCTTGGGCGAGTGATTCCCAGACATCAGCGCGCCTGGATTCACGCGAGGCAACGGCGGACAATGCTCACGGCGAACCTCGTCATCGACATAGAGTCCCTGCAGACCACGCAGTTGGCAGATGCCGCTGAGGCGTGCGTTCAGCTCCTGCGGGAGCATGAGATCGATATCGGACAACGATATCGCCTGCTCCAGCTGCTCATCGTGACGTTGGCTTTCGTTCCTACTCATCTGAGTCCAGCTCTGACATTTGCCTTCACTGGCAGTGACTTGACTGTATCAACCATGTTCCAATCAGTCGCTCTCATGATGCTGATCGCGACGCCACTCGCGCAATTGTTCCAGCGCGCGCCTCCATTCCTCGCGGCGTGTGCTTGTCTTGGGCGCATGCAGGGGTACCTCAGAGCAGAGCAGAAGACTGACCTCCGACACTTTGAACGATATCCTTCCGACTCTTTGGCATCCTGTGCTGCCATCACTATCGCCGGCTTGACATCGGATGGGGAGATGCAGCTCCAGTATTGCACAATCTCCATGCGAGCCTTCCACGGGGACGCCTGACCATAATTTACGGGCCGACTGGCTCGGGGAAATCGACATTGCAGGACCCTGCTTGGTGAATGTGCATATGCAGGTGGCAGGATTGTTATCAGAGGGGAGCCCAGTCAGGCGATGGGCTTCTGCGAACAAGACCCTGCGTTGCTCGGCGGGACGATCATGGACAACATCGTGGAATTCACAGCGTTCGACCAACACCTCTACCATGATATCACCTGTGCTGTTATGCTTAGAGAAGACTTCCGCCAGATGGAGCATGGTGACCAGACTGATATCGGCAGCAACGGCGCCAACTTGAGTGGAGGACAACGGAAGAGAGTTGCTCTGGCTCGTGCACTATATCAGTCAACTTGCATCTACATCCTGGACGAAATTCTTGGTGGCCTAGACTCGAAAACAGCGCAGCACGTTTTTGATAACGTTCTTGGGCCTGAAGGTCTCCTCAAGCGTCGTGGTGCAACAGCCGTCTTCGCTACCAGCTCCAGACAATATTTGCATGCTGCTGATCATGTCATTCATCTCACACGCACACCTGATCCGCCGTGTGATGCGCGCGGCACGCTCAATGATGCGAATATAGCCGAAAGTGTCCCTCGGGATGCACTCTCATCGCAGCAGGCCAGCAGCACACAAGTTCCATGCGACAGTTCTCCGGGTTCTCTTGCTTTCGTGGATGAAGCTCATCGCATCCACGCTGAATGTCGAAGGTCTACTATCGAGAAACCCTCCGACGTGTTGAATGAGAAAGAGGACGATGATTCTCGCTACGCATCGTCCACTCTGTCGGAGGCCGCATCGAAGCAGACATCAGCGGCGGACAACAACTTGCTCTTCTATGCGTACTACCTCAGAGCGAGCGGCAAGGTGCCTCTCGTCCTGTTCATATGCTCGGCACTCGTCTATGCATTCTGCAGCAACTTCTCAACAGCATGGCTCTCATTCTGGCGCAGGACCGCTTCTCGCAGTCGAAGTCTCTTTATCTTGGTATCTTTAGTCTTCTGAAAGCGACCACTTTGATTTTCCTCTTCGCCAGCATGATGACGTGTCTCATGCTGATGATGAAAATTTCCAGTCGAGAGATACATCGCGATACGCTCCAAGCTCTCGTGTAGGCTCCCCTTCGCCTGTTCTCGGGAATGAACCAGGGAGAGATCACCACTTTGTTTTCGCAAGACCTAAATATCATCGACTCGGAATTGCCGCAAGCTGCGATGAATGCCGTCTTGAATACTGTTGTTGCAATTGGCGTGACCGCCGTCCTGGCTATCGCGTCTCCGTATATTTTGATCAGTCTTCCTGTTATCCTCCTCGTGCTCTGGATTGTGCAGCGAGTCTATCTTCATACCGCTCGACGACTTCGTGTTCTGGATCTCGAGGCCAAGGAGCCTCTGTATACACACTTCTTGGCAACAGTCCGAAGCATCAGCACCATCCGAGCGTTTTGCTGGCAAAGGCACTTTGTGAAGCTCAACAGTGGGATGATCGAAACTTCCCAGAGAGCAGCCTACGTACTCGCCATGGTGCAGAGATGGCTCGATTACGTTCTGGGCATGGTCGTGGCGGGAATGGCGACGATACCGGTCGCACTGGCGGTCATTTTGCGATCAGATGCCGCCATCACCGGTGCTTCGTTGCTCTCGTTGTTGAGTCTGGGCGAGGCTCTGTCTGCTGTTGTCGAGTTCAGCAGTAGGATGGACATCGCGATGGGGACAGTCGGAAGGTTGCGGGCCTTTGCATCCGGGGCACAGATCAAGGAGGAAGGCCATGGTGACGAAATCGAATCATGTTGGCCATCGCGAGGCGAAATCGCAGTCCGTTCCGTCAGTGCCAGCTATGATGATGCTGATTCAACAATGAAGAAGCGTCGGCCCTCCGAGCACAGACGCCATTCACATCTCGCACTCCACGACGTGACCTTTTCTGTTCCCGCCGCATGCAAAGTCGCCATCGTCGGACGCAGCGGCAGTGGCAAATCCACGCTGTTCCGACTTCTGCTGCGCCTGTTGGATCCGCTTCCTTCGACTTCTCACCGAGAAAGCACCATCCTCGTTGACAACGTCCCTCTTTCCCTCATTCCCCGTTCACTGGTGCGAGAACGCATCATTGCAATCCCACAGCGATCTGTACCCCTTCCCGACTCCAGTTTTCGCCAAAATATCGATCCGTACAACCAGTGCAGTCAGGAATGTTGCCTCGAAGCACTCGACGTCGTGGGTTTAGCAGATCCCGTTCGCAATCGCGGTGGTCTCGACTCCAAAGTGTCAGCCGACATGCTATCGCACGGTGAGTTGCAGTCGTTGGGGCTTGCCAGAGCTTTGTTGCGGAAGAAGCAAGCTGATGAGCGGCGGGCAAAGGCCGCCGCCCGCTTTCACGCGACGACGGAGAAGCTAGACACAGCAGCAGCAGCAGCGATGGTGGGTCAGGGAGCACGAGCAAGCGGCGGGATCTTACTTGTCGACGAAGTCGGTTCTGCTCTCGACGCGGAAATGTACGATCGACTCTGGAAAATTATCAGGCGGGAGTTTCAATCCTACACTGTGGTGGCGATTTTGCATCGACTCGATCCTGTAGCGCTCGAGTTTTTTGACAGGGTTCTCGTGATGGAACGTGGAGAGCTGGTCGAGGGCGGGGGGGAATGTCCATCGGAGTTTTGAGATGGAAAGTCGTCATCGTGGGGTGAGAAGCTCGCGGCGCTCGTTTGATGTGAGCTTTGCGGTAATGATAGCAGAAAATATTTGGAATCTTTACCAGCAACAGCTCCCAACGTCTATTAATGTACGTATTCCGAGATACATCCAAGGAGTGTCGGTCTTGTCTTTGATGGTGAGCATTGATGACTCACTCATCCGACCCCCACAGAGGACAATCTTCCATCTCAGGGACAAGCTTTTGCCCCTCAGGCATCCATTCAATAAACCTACGACCCATAAAACTCGTCACAACACACTGGTACCAATCCCTCGAACTCTTGGCCGCCTGTCTCATTGTAGGTCCACACTTCTTGAACATATGCAAGCTGTGCTTGATTGGTTGCCACTGGTTTGGGCCTGCATATCTCCACACTCTGTCTGCGCAGCGGTAGCCGTGGAAGCTATTCGCTGAGGAAGGAGAGATCAGTGGGTGAAGGAGAGATGAATGCAAGGGACGGGGAGGCTTACACAGGGGTTTTGCTTCGAGCCTTGTCCGTATATCGTCCATGCATTCGAGGAGGGCAGTGGTGTTGGCGCCTTCGGTTTCTGAGGAACAGGACTCAACTTGTCCACGCAACGCGGCAGCAGTTGTGAGTGTAGCGAGGGTGAGGAGGTTGAGCAGCTTCATGATGTTCCTGTTCGTGCTCGATTCGATTTCGCCTTTGTGTAGTGAGAGATGTGAGAATGAGAGTCTAGATCTGGATTGGATTTTGTCAGAGTGCGAAAAAAAATGTACTGAGGGCTCCAAAGTTTGCTGTATATCCGGGCAAGATCTTGACAGCTGGTTCTACCCCTGAGCCTTTTATTTTCACTTGTCATCTGATAGGTTTGCAGTGCTAACACAAACCCAAAACGCAGATCACGGGAATCATCACCCATACGCCTTCCTTACACGGTGCGTGATTGATCGGTTTCTTGTGAAGGCACGCCTCAAGGCCCAAAGGCGAGTATGCCACAACCCGATATCCGAAAAGGTCTGATGCGTGGCATTGGAACCAGTCCCTACCGGCATATGCAGCGTTCGAGAGGTCTTTTTCGCACTTTCGGAAACCCTTCAAGTTCGTATGAATGGGTTGCCAGTTGGCAGTACTGCCGACCTGCCATGAGTGATTTCCGCATTGGTAAGGCTCGAGGTGGTTCGCTTTTGATTGAGAATCAGCAGTTGTTGTTGCGGCATGTGCTAGCAGAGCTCACCTTTGGGCTTTGCTTCTAACATTGCTTTCATCTCATTCATGCATTGAACGAGTTCTGTTGAGTTGGCATAGGTAGTCTCTGCCTGCCAGTAGTGCTTCCTCAACTCTGCCGAAGCCAGGCTTGCCAGCGTCGCGAGGGTGAAGAGGCTCGTCCACTGCATTGCGACTGGAGATATTGAGTTAGGCAATGTCGACCTTGCCTTGACTTGCACGATGTCGACGATGGACTGTTCGTATTGTGCGACCTTGACAAGTGGCCACTGCCAGCTCTTGGGCCTCCGCCATCTTCCGGCCTGGCAGTACCAGAGGTCATATGAACCCAAATGCAGGAAATTGGCACGCTAGATGCCCCTACAGGATAGTCCCGCTCCTCGTTGGTCCCCATCCTGTCTTCGGCATCGGGTTGAAATTTGAGTCCAGCACATAGTATAGCACGCAGCCCAGACGTCCTACTTAAAAGCCGCAGGCCCCATCATTCCCAATGCCCATAATAACTACAAGGCACCCGATCCGGCTTATAGTTATCATAACAAAACCCATATCCATAGGCCGTGAAATCCAGAATAGATCTATTCTTTCGCCGTATACGCCGCCTAGCTCAAATCTTACTAACATTTCGACACGCATTAATATTGTTCTTCGTTAGTTCCTAGCGAGGTCGCTCGTCGCGACCAAATTGCTACCAGCGGTTGCCGCATTTCATATCCACCGAGGCGGCTGGCTGCACGGTTGGTGGTAGTATTTAGTAGCAGTTCGAGGATATGTAGAAAAGGAAGCGATATCAAAGAACATACTTGTGGGAAAAGTTTCCATCATGGCCTTCGTCTCTTAGACGCATTGGGCGAGTTAGGTTGAATTCGCATTGAAGGCTTCGGAGGACCAGGAGTATGATCCGAGCGTCGATAGTGTGGTGAAACTGACGAGCGTCGTACAATTCATGTTGGAAAGATGTCGATTCGACGATGTCGTGTTGCGCGGTTTGCGAGAGTAGAGTTCTGAGTTGTGAGAGCCAAGCGTAGGCAGACAAAGTTCTTCTTCACGAGAGAAGATTATGACAGATAGATCAAGGCCAGCCTTTGTGCTAATTTGTTGTACTTCTGTGGCCTCGCAGTCCACGTCCGCGGGAGAGGTTTAGGATCTCCTTGGATGAAAGTCTGACCCATCTGCAAGCCGAAAGCTACCTTGATATGTGAGACCATACAATTCAAAGCGGCCGTCTCTTTTACTTGAAGCTATAGCGTAAAGTGGTGCCCAGAAGCTAGTGTACAGATAGTCGTTCGATGTTTCAACTCGAAACCTCCTAAGAGATATAGGACAAAAGAAATTTCGAATTTTGCGCTCGTCGTTCACTCATTCGTTCAATTTTCACAGCGGATTCAATGAATCAATCACTGCACAGAAGAAAGATCAGCTAGAGAAGAGAAAGATAGAGGAGCGAGAATCGAATTGAGTTTCACATACTGGTCCGTAAAGTCTTCGCCGCCTCACTCTCCTCGCCCGGTCCATGTTCCTTCTCTCCACTACTGCTACTCACAGGACTCTTCGGGTGCGTGAAAGGGCGATTGCGCAAGCGATTCACAGTCGTCGTGATCCGATTGCGGCTGAAATGCACGGCTCTAGCCTGTTGCGTTTGGGGCGGTGGCTGCGAAGCTCTGGTTGGTGCTGAGGGAGGAGGCTGTGAAGCTCTCGACGGTGCTGGAGGCGGCGGAGGAGGAGGATCTGGCGCGCGATAAGCTAGCACGTCGATGCCTGACCGACGCAAGTCTAGTTTCGGGTTTGCATGGAAGGTGGAAGCACGGCTGCGGGGTCCAAAGCAGGGTGGCAGAGCACGCTGAAGATCGTGTAGTTCGTTGTATGAAGCTTTATGCGGGATCGGTGGGGCGGTTCGGTAGTGAGCATCTTTGATGGGAGTATGCGGTGGAGTGATATCAGTATCCTCTTCTTCGTCAGCATCGTCTGCCGATGAGATGGAATCGGGACGTGGCGGTGTGATTTTGATCTCCATAGAAGTGACAGCCGAGTCTTTTCTGAAAGATTCTGGGCGCTTCGCTTGCGGAGTGCGCTGAGTCTCTAACAACGATATTGAAGACATATTTGAGCTTGCCTGACTCATGATGCTGACGGGTCTCGGGATAGCTGGCGGAGCACCAGCGGGAGGTATCGTAGGCGCAAATGTTGGTGACATGCTACTGGGGATGTCAGTGGCGGGCGGTGTGGCGACAGGGCGGCGAGCTGGCGATTCCCTGCTCGAAGAGCCGCGTGGAGTTGGGGTGCGCTCAATGCGCCTGCCCGCGACGTTTGGCTGTGCTGCAGCGTAAGATTGGCGTTGGCCGAACTCCTTTCGAATGGGCTCCCAGGTACTGCCCTTTTCTCGCAGCGCTTGTTGCCATTCAGAATTTCTGGCCTTGCACGCGGATGCATCCTCCTCCGTGGCATGGGTATGAAGCTCACAGAGATCAACGCGCCAGCTAGGAACATGCTCTCTGAGTTTTGGGAAGATGCCGCGAGTGAACTGATACTCCAGGAGATCATGCAGGAACTGTGGTGGCAGTAGCTGCGCGTAGCCCGACTTGTCGCGCGGCAGACCTCGGAACGTGAAAGCGGCTTCTTGTATGAGATAGCTGCAAATGAGAGAGTTTGGCGGATTCATTTTGTAGGCCAGGCGAAGGATTTCAGGTGATGAGCTCGCATACGGAATTCCGCTCTCTCGATGTTCGACAAACTTATCCATCACGGCGTTGCGCAGAGCAGGGATCTTCATACGGATGGCGAAAGCGTACAATCGGATCAGATCTTGTTGGTGCTTTCGAACGAGGAAGCGTGCTTCATTGGTTTCGCGATCGGCATCCGGCTCTCGAGCACAACGGGCGGCGGTCGTCTCATCGTCGTCCGCAGAGTCATCGTCGGCCATCTCGCGAATGCTGCGCAGTTTGGCAGCTTCGCAGGCATCAGTCTCGGAGGAGACATCGACGCCCGAATCGTGGTTCGTCTGGTTTCCGTCCTCGTCGGAACGGACCCGATCCTTTCCTTTGGGTGTTTTGGGGCGGGCAGGCAGGCCATCCGTGCCGCGTACCTCTTGCAGTGTCGGAAGACAGATCTCGGCTGAATAAAGCCAGGATGCGAAAAGTGCGAAGTCTCGAGGCTGTTCATGAGGTAGCTGAATGGTGTCGTTTGGCGGTCCATGCCATGCATCGCCGAAAGTGTCCCTGAAGAAGTCGGAGACGTGGCATGCGAGCTCTTTATGTAAGGTGAAAGATACTTGACCACGGCCCACCAAGACGGTGCACACTCCGCGCAGGAGGGTGCTGTAGATAGAGTCAGTGGCGATTACTCATCAATGTAATTCTGCACTTACTGAAATGTCGGGCTGACCACAGGTGAGGGTCGAGGAACCACGTTGGGAGAGTCTGGTAGTGACAATGCATCCCGAGCAGCGCACTTCTTTTGTTCTTCCTTTTCTTCGTGGCAGTGAAAATAGCACGGCTCGTACTCCCAGAACGGCTCCGGCATGTCGTGGTGCCTCTTTTCGATGGCTCTCGGTGACTCGTGGTATCGAGCGTGCAGTGCTCGATTATACGGGGGCGGAAACAGGTGCGTCGTGAGCATGAGGTCTAGCCAGGAGTCTTTGATGTCTCCAAGTCGACGCGCACCTTCAAACAACAGGTAGTCTTGCAAGCGCATCACATACGGCTTCTGATTCGGCCCGGAGCAGCCAAGACTGTCGTCCCATCCAAAGGCACCCGCCGCGAACGCTCTTTCGATGGCGGGTAGTGCGGTGGTCCTGCAGTATTGGTCGTTTTGTTTCCACAGACGCGTGATGGCAAGATTGGCCAGCTCCCATAGCTCGTACCGCGACGCGAACAGGTACAGGTCGATCAGATCCTCGTCTCTCCATGTGCCCGCAGCCTCAATGACTTTGTGTGGTGCCTTGGCCACCAGCCTGGTCGCTTGTGGTGGCTTTGAGGCATATTCCTCTGGTAAAACGAGTTGGCCGGTGTACAGCCAAGTGGCGAAGACGCGGAACAGTGTCACGCGGAGGGTCCGTAGATCCAGTGGACGGTCGGTGGGGCACGGGCTGATATCGCCGAGCAGGCAGGTCTCTCTCTTGCCGGCAGGTGAGGGCTGCACTTGCCCTTCGCGCTGAAGCAGCTCGTCCAGGAAGGTGGGACATCGTTCTCGCAGAAGATTCGTATGCAGCGTGAAGGGCACCGCTTCGGGGCCGACGACGAATGTATGGACTTCTTGATATGCGCCGCTGCGATTGTCAGTATCTTGCAACGTGCCACGGCAGAACTGGACACGCGACGTACAAGCGCCAGAGCTTGAACTCATATTGAATGGTCCATCTTGATTTCTTGTGTTCCTTCTCGCGGAGCGGAGCATTGATCACAAGCGTGAGGCGCTTGTTGATGGCGGTTTGGGTCGCCATGGCGGCGCATGTCGAGAGGTGGAGGGAGCATGAGAGTCGGACAGAGGTGGTTGGCGTTGGCGAGGAGCAACATGATCAAGGAGTATACTGGGCGACAGGAAATTTGATGGGCAAGGATGCATCGTGGAATTGGGGATACTTATGCTTTCGGACCAGCCCAACCACTGCCAGGAACGCGTCGAAGGGCAGGCAACGAACGCGGTCCGTGACAGCCATGGGCGGTATTGGGATCATGCAGGGAGCGGAGGAGGTGGCTCCCGACCACGCGGTTCTGTCGTGAGCAAACTTACATGTCGGCGATGGTCTGTTAGCGGTGGTGGGTGCTGGTCGAAAAGAAGTCGTGAAGTGGAACTGTGGAAGTCGTGCGGATGCGAGGCTTGGCACGGACTCATTTCCGCCGACAGCCCGCGTCGCTCCTCCAGTTCTTGACAACATACGAATACCGGACACCGACATTGCATACATATCGACCGCCCTCCCATCCTGCCACCATGCCGCGACCACCGGCGCCGCTCGACGATCACAAAGACTTCATCATCGACAGCATCGACGTCCTCGGCCTCACCCAAGCCGAAGTCTGCGCCGAACTACGCGACAGCCATGACCTGAACATCGGCCGCAGCACGCTCGTGAAGGCGCTGGCCCGATGGGGCTTCCGCACGCGACGCGTCAACTTCGAGGATACGCCCGCCCTTCGTATGCGCCTTCAGAACTACTTCCACCAGACCACCAAGACGGATGCTGAGATCGCCGCCCTGCTCACTGCCGATGGCATGGACGTCACCTGCGTGCGTGTCCGGAAGCTGCGCAAGGACATGGGCCTTTACAAGCGGGTCGATGCTGACCGCAGGGACGTGGCCGAGAACACAGTGGAGGAGCTGCTGAAGCTCGAGTTCCAGAACGAGGAGATTCGCAACATGGGCCACAAGCAGCTGTATCGCTACATGCGCAAGAAGTACAATGTCGCTGGCAGAGACCGCATGTTTGTCATTGCCAAAAAGCTGGATCCCGAAGGTCCGGACCGGCGTCTGAGAGCGCAGAGGAGGGCCGCGAGGAGGTCAGGCTTGGAGAAAGAGCGAGCCGCCAAGGAGAACCAGACGCAGCAGTCGCCAGAAACTGCAAATGCCGTGTCTGTCGAGCAGCAGCCGCTGCCAGGATACGTGCCTCTCGATCCCGCCATGTACCAGAGCGAATATGCCTCCCAGCGTGGACAGCATGGCAGTGATGCGCCGGCACACTATCCCTCACACGGTGGGTTTTCGCAAAACGGCAGGCTGACTGTGCCCGTAACCGAGGCCAATGCTCCAACGCAGAGCTCCTATGCTCCAATGCATAACTCAACAGGTCTGGCATTCGACTCAAGCCGCGTGCCACCATTCTGAGACAAACACGTGGAATTCCGGCGGCTGTTTCCCTACGATCAGGCAGCATCGTGCCCGGCGTTGTTGCTGTTCGAGCTATTTGCTAGCCTTCAACGACCCTCCGAGTCCCGCGCATCATTCGCTGCATGTGTTGCATCGAATCACACTGCTAAGCGGTATTGTGGGCAGTGTCGCCGGAAACTTTCGGGACTAGAAAGCAGCCTACGCAAGTGGAATTCTGGTGGGAGCGACGATCCGAAGATGGAGGAACGTGCCAACACAGTGGACGAGAGTTTCAAAATCAGCAGGACGACTCAGCAAAGGGAGCGTCCCGTCCGTCTGATGGTGCTGACCGAAGGCTTAACCCTCAAGCTTTCCAAGTCTTACTGCGAAACTGTCTGCGACTTCTTTGACCTTCTCAAAGGCAGATGGAACATTCTCCACGTCGCTAGAGCGGCTTGAGTGGCATTTGGCCGTGGGAACGGGCAACGCCTTTTCAGAGCCTGGGTCTTCTCGATCCTCTGGGAGGCGCAATATGCAATTGCACTACGGCTGTTACCAAGTTTTAGAATATCTGTGAGTCCACTGTCTCTTGCGAGCAGCGCTTGGCACTCGTTGATGTTGTGTATGCTGAAGATACCGTATAGAAGGTACAGTTCAGATCTTTTCAATATTTTCTCGTCCGCCGTGGCGAAGAACAGACCGGTCTCAGTAGTTGGGGTCCACTTTGCTCGATGGACAACATGACATGAGGCTCCAATTGCGCGTTTGACTAGTCATGATGCTGGAATGAAGTTGAAGCATGAAATACGCTGCCGGAATGGCACATTGCAGTCGAATCCATCTACCGAATTCCCATACACCCGAAAACCTGGCGTTGAAGCTCCTCATACGCGGAATCTGAACCAACTATCGAAACGGCGTTGACAAATGCTATGGCAGTTGCGTCTAGTTGTCCAGACAGTCTGGTTGTACCACGCGCCTTGCGCACAGAAGAAGTACGATACGTTGTTACCAGGTAGCGCGACTTGAGGCCTTGCATGCTCAAAGTTGTGATGGAACGAATATCTTCTCAAGCTTTAGAACGGCGGACTGCTCCGACCAACTTCCAAGGAGTTGTGTGCTTTTGCCCACTATGCGACGACGTCCCTCTCAAAACTATGAACATCAAAGGGATCCCGGGCTTAGCAGTCTGTTATTCTCGCCTTCATCGGACTGCCCATCCTTCGCACCAGCTCAATCGCTAACAATTATCATGGATGCCAACGTCCGAACAAAAGCAAGCATCAAAGCGATTTACCTGGCCCCCAGCGTTGTCGCTATAAGCCCGGTACTGGCAGAGCCCATGGCTGTTGACGAAGACTTGAGCCGTGTCTGGTGCTTGTCCGTCGTTGTAATAGACATCTATGCGCTCAACACACTGTGTTGCTTTCCACCCGATGAGAGAAGCGTCGCAGCCGTTCGCTGCGTCGTTGGTGCAAATCGCTCGACGACCTCGGAATTTGCTTGCTGTGACTTGGTTTCCGCCGAGCGAGTTCTCGTGTAGAAGGGAGTACTCGCAGTCGCCTAAGGAGGCACCTCTGTATGCGATGATTGCCATGTCGTGTTTGACGGCGGCTTGTGTGCCGGGTGCGAAAGCGGCTAGCATAATGGCCACTGCCGTGGCAGGGCTAAGGGGAATCTGCATTTTGTGTACTTGGCGGCGGCTGCGAGTGGACCGATCGGATGGAATGAATTTTGAGTAAGTGAGATAGCTGGAGTTGCACCTCCTTACTGAGGAGCTGGCCGCATGTCTGATATAGTCTGCGACCAGAACGTATGCGCCAAGCTCTATGTAGCTTAGGTGAAAGTGATGCAGGGATATTTCTCCCGTTGCCTTAGTTTAGCCCTATGGACAGTTACTATCCGAGGCTCGATCGATAGCGTCCTTCTGCAGCCAATCTGACAATACCTTCTGAATACGAAATTAGCACTAACGTGTTTGATAAGCATGTGAGCTAGATAGGTATATAAGCTAGTTCTATCTCGTATCTACTACTACTACTAAACGCGTTACTTATTCTACTACCTTACGCGATAGTACCTCTAAACGAAGAAGCTATTTAGTATACTATCCGTAGCTACTAATTAGGTCGTTTTCGAAGCGTACGACGCGCTATAACTACGTACGGAGTCGATTATATAACGCTTAGCCGGAGGCTTAAAGGTACGGCTCTAAAGACTAGTATACTTCTACCGAATAGAGCTCTTACTCTAATTAAAGAAGAGGTAGTTTATTAGAAGATTCTAGACCTAGATTCGTATAGTTACTCGCTAATATAAGCTATAATTAGAAGCTAGGCCTCCTTAATAACTAAAGTATAGAATAGATAAGAAGTTAGCTAAAGATAGGCTTATAACTTTATTAAGCGTTATATAGGCTTAGAAATATAGTTATTATAAAGGCTATTAAACTAGAGAGCTAAGAATAAGGATCTAGAAGTTATTATAGAGTAGTTTAGGCTCGTTTAAAACGTAAAAACCTACTATAGAATTATAGAGTATAATACGTATAACTTTAATAAGAGTAGATATAGGCTTAGATACTATTAGAATACTATAGTTATTACTACTATCGAGCGGAAGTAGCGACCTAAGGCCTTAGTTTCTAATTTAACGTAGTAGTAGACTATTATCGCCTATATTAATATAGAAGGCTAGTTAGTATCTCTATATATTATCTTCTTAGGTAAGGAAATAAATAAAGCCTAGTTCTACTACCTACCGCTAATATAGAAGCTTAGAGTTAGTCTAAAAGGCTAGATATTCTATAAGTAT